TACTTGCTCAGTCTCTGTGACTCTTCCTGCTTATTCAGACACAATTTGCCCAGCTCCCTCATGCATCTCCCTTTGAAAAGAGGAGTCTTAGCTACTTACGCTTTACAGATATTTAAAAGGGAGAAGAGGGTTACAGCTTGAAAAGCCACCCAGGTAGGGAAAGGGGAAAAGAAATGCCATTGGTCTGGAGTAGCGAGGGAAGATGAGTGGCCCTCCACATTCCTCTTCCTGAGATTTTAAGTAAGCATTACCACCAAAGTAGTGTAAGGTACAGACATATGTGAAGGTGTAAGAAGGAACACAGGCAAGGAAAGAGGCAGGAAGGTCCAACAGGGAAAGAAACAGGGAAAATGCACTACCATGGGTGCTTGGCCCTGCCCAATAAACACAGGCTGAGAAGAGGTACAAGGCCAAAACAAAATAAAAAAGATTATCTTTCCATTGGTGCTGCTACTTCATCTGCTGAATCAGTAAGTCATTGCTGAGGGTAACACTGAGGATCCAGTCTTACCTTTCCTTCATCCATCCACAGTTGAGCTCCTCATGGTCCTGGCTGAGCACCTTCATAGCAGCAGAGAACAAATGTCTTCTGACATACGGTGATGCCCAGACCCTCAGCTGTGAGAAGGAGACTGTTTCTCATTTGCAGGAACCCAGGCTTTTATAAGAGAATGAGTGCCTATTCCAGACTGGTGTGTTCTCATCTAATGTTCCTGATATTGAATGCAGAACTGTCTGTAGGAAGCCGACAGAGCTTTTGATCAACACTTCAAAAGAAAATGTCACTATCAAGAACTATTTTTGGTGTCAACCTGTGCATGATGTAGAATGATCACTAACAGTTTGCTAATCCAGGCACGCAGGTTTAGGTAACAAGTCTTTTACAATTACACCAGACACTATAGGATTTTACTCATTTTTTACTCCAAATTTTGACGCTTACTGTCCTAAGCCAGTAAACTCTTAATTAACTTCAACTTCTTGAGCCAGTTCAGAGCAATGCAAGAACTTATCAGACATTAGAACAGCAATGACTCCAGAAACAGAAAAGACCCCATTGATCCTTCATGGCTGAAAAACCCTATAGAAATTATCGTGTGTAAGGGCCATGTACTACTACTAAAGCTGTCAGCACTGGGGAGTGCAGTGGTTCTGAAAGACCTTTCTTCAACACCAGGTGCTGGTGAAGCAGAACTCTCAAGCTATTTACGTGCAACAGGCACGTGTCCCCTTGGGCTTCCACATCCAGAATTTTCACAGGTAAAATAAATAAATAAATAAAAAATAAATCACTGCACCACACACAAAGTGAAGCCTTACTAGTGCAGCACCTTTTACAATCTCAGATACACAAATTAGAGGAAGTAATTGTGCAGATTCAGGAGTTTCTAGTGACAGCGAGTCTTAGAGCAGTTCACATAACTTCACACATCAATGACAGCAGCCAGTGTATGTACAAGGAAGCTGCTCTGTACTCGATGGTTTTCATGCCATTGCTGGCAAACAATACCAACTTCTGGAACAGCAAGTGACTGTATCTGCATTTATTTATTTATTTATTCATTCCTCAAATTTATCTCAAGCAATTTTTTATTTCTTGTGTTATAAAGAAGTGAATGTAGGTAATACTGTGGAGGTGTTTTGTAATGATGGTGACAGCTGTAAGGTATTCTGAAGGAATTCCATACTTATTTGGTAATCTTCCAACCCCAGTTTCCAAAATATACAGATAAGCAGTACGACCTACGTGGGGCTAACTTGGTACAACAAATCTGTAATATATTACAAGTGTAATATAAACAGGAGAAACATTCCTGAGAGCAGTCAATGATTTGTATATGGAAGAAAAAAAGCAAACATTTTAATAACAGTACCCTTCCACCCAAAAGATATCCTGTACTGCTCCTGATTGATCTGTGATGGACTGAAGGCCAAAAAGGCAGTCACTGGGAAAATCTAGATTTTTTTTTTTTGTAACTTGGCTAGTGCTCTGAACATTATCAAACCATATGTTTGTGCATGTCTGCCTAATAAAGAGAAATGTATATTGCTTCACAATTTGCTTTCTCTGTATTTCAAAATAGGTGGGCATTTCCCGAACATTTTTCTTACCAAGGAAACCTAAACATTTTACCTACTTGGCACAGTTTTTCATCCTACTGCATTCAGTTATAGCATGCTGTTCCCAAGAAACACGTGCATACAACACTAGAGAAAATTAGAACTAATTTTTTATTCCATAACGCTAATGTAAACCCACAGTGAGGTTTAAAAACAAACAATGAAATAACTATGAGTTCTGCTTGCATTAGTATTCAGAGCAAAAAGAGGATTTTACTCAACATCTGAGGAGATTGAAAGGGGGAGAAAAAATGAAACAGTAACAAAATTCAATAATTAGTTCTCGCAATTCATAAAGCTTCTTCACCAATTCTTCTTAGAGTACACAGTGATCAGGAAACAGGGAATCATCACTGATCAATATATAAAAACAAAAATAAGTTCTGAGTTAAAAAAACTTTAAAACTTCTGGTCAAAGGAATGTGAGCAAAGGACCATGTACTTCGTTTCATCAGCAAAGAAAAAGCACTTAAATGAATGTAAAAAACCCGCAAAGCAGAACAAAGTAATACCTTTCCATTTTTCAGCGATAAGAAACTGTCCACAAGGAAAGTATCTTGTCCATCACTAGATGTGTCCCATGTAACCTTAATAAAGGTCACTGCTGTCTGCAGCAGACATCTTAAAAATAAATAATCACGGTTATGATCACATTATCTTAGTATTACAACAGGCAGATTTCCTTTCCACTTTCACATTCGACTTAAACAACATTAACATTGTGCCCTCAAGACAAGCAAGAAACAAAATTTACCTGACAAAATTCAAGACCCACGTTTTTCATTTTGCACTGAAATTTCATTTCTACTTGATGAAAGTTTGTACAGTTTCTGTACTGACTTCATCTCGAGGGATAATTTAAACATGAAATATTAAAAATTAACACTGCTATCAAAATGAGAAAATAATTCCAAATCCATAGAGATTGTTGTTAGTACAATACAGTAATAACCCAATAAAGAACACTTGATAGAATGATGGGACAAGTCAGTAAATTAAAGCTTGGATGCATCAGAGCTGAGAGTGCTTCAATAGAGAGCTTTGCTTCTAGGCCTTTCCTGACTGAACAGGGCAGATTTTGCTGGGCAGATTGCTATTTTAAGTGAACCTGCTGACCCCCACTGACCATTAGTGACACAGCTGGAGAAGCAGGCTGCACGTGGGCTTCGTACCAGCTGGAACTTCAGGAATTACAGCTTGCATCTTAAATCGGCCCTTTGGAAATGAGGGGGCAGCTGCTGAAAACAATGCTGTGTACAACCAACGCTGTTGCTGAGCACACACATTACCACCTTCTTCTGTGCTAGCTGCAGTTTCCAAGCAACATGCATGCGGAAAGAATAGCCAAGGTAATCTAGACTGGAAGCAACAAAGATGTGAACTACTGCTATAAAATCACCACAGCAAGATGAAGGATACAATTACCTGGCAAGGTCAGTAGCAGATATTCTTTACCACTAGTTATCTATACAGTTGTCTGCACTGCTGAGAGTACAACTACATTATTATTTTTCACTCTAGGGGAATTGATTGCAATATTGTTTTCTTTTTTTCCTTAACTGAGACAACATATTTCAGGAATTCTTGACCAACTTGGGACACGCTGCCTAGAGCGCCCATCACTCACCATTTGATTTTAGCAGCAAGTGAATAATCTTATCAAATAAAACAACTGAATTCCATAGAAAAAGTTGGATTTTAAAACCAAAGCTTCTGAAGTAAATTATACAAATACCTACCTTTAAGTAACTTTTAATTCAGTGACTTTAATTCACTGAATTCACACAGGAGACTTCTAGGACATTTCATATAAAAAATTGAACAGACCTTTGGTAAAAATGCAGGCGCTTGCCAGTAATTACTCTTGAGTGTCCTTCTTATGGCTATCTCACAGAAAATAAAGCTCCCTCAAAGAATTCAAGATTCAATAATGGAACTGGAAAAAGGATGCATAAGAGAATTTGAAATACATAGAACTCATCAGAAACACACAGTTGCATTGCTCTTTTTACTCACGTGCTTTGAGATTTGTAAAGATTTCTAAGTACATATAATATTTCCTACCTTTGGGAGTTGATGTTTAATGCCAGCATCCTACATACATGGTAAATGGGTATTTTTCATAATCTGAATAGGTACTTTTAATAAGTCTAATGAAGAACATCATAACCCATGCACATGCTTACCACTGAAGTTGGTTTTGGTTTTTAGGGCTTAGTTTGAATAGATCCCATCTGGAGACAAAATGAGTTTCACCATTTTAAAAAAGAAATAACAAAATGGGGTCATCTCCCTCCCTTGGTTAATTTCCAGTTACCAATAATCAAAAGTAAGCATTTTTACAGAAAAACATGCTATAATGACCTGTTAACACATCTGCTAAAGAAATAAATGGTCTCTTGTTTGTTATAGGAGCTACTAATCAAGTATAACTACAACAGTAACCCTTCCCTAACTATAACATACTTATGCAGGTCTCTTATTCCTGATCTCATGTATCTCATGTAAGTATCTGATGGCCGTCAGGTGCAGAGAAAGAAGAGGAGGGATGAAAGATCTTTAAGCTCAGAAAAGTTCAGCAATAAAGAGGCACAAAAGAAAATGCTGAGGTATGTAGGAAAAAAGTCAAAGTGTTATGAGAACTTTCTTAAAAAAGTTTTCATACTTTTTTTTTTCCTTTTAGCTGAGCAAAATGAATCAATTTAAACAATTTTGAAACAAAAGACATTTCTCTCTTTAGACTCTTATTTGCCAGTTGTTTTCACATATACAGTATTAAAACCCGGTATAGAATTAATAGAAATTCAGCCTAGAAAAACTCCTATGATTCTACTAGTATTCCTTATTTTCTAATGTAAATTTTAAGACTGGCAAAATGATTTGTGGCAAATATTTAATATGGAGATCGCAGGGTATGTTTCTTTTACAGGATTTGCAAAATACATTCTCATCTGTTTGAATGCAGATACATCATCACAGAGCATACAAGAAAGATTTGTAGTAAAGTTCAGAGATACACAATGACCGAAGTCTTGATATAATACTAACTTGGAACCCAGGTGCAAGTTTTTTTTTCCAAACTGTACATGTATGTTTAAAAAGATATAGCCTTTCAAAATGCTTATATACTTAATCATATCCATTAAGATCAAACGCGTATTAAAACCAGTAAAATTATAGCAGCAATATGAGAGAATATCTGAGCCACGTGAACATTAACAATTAAAACAAAAACAGCAATATGAAAAATTACATTACTCTGATGGTTATGTTAGATAACAGAGGTAAGTAACACACCAATTACTTATGCCAAACCATTAAAGAATAAGGATTTGTTCACTCTGTGAACATTACTGTTGTACAGCTCAAAGATAATGTTTAAAAGAACCGTTGAAAACAAATGTCCACCACACTGTCCCAGAGTGCTTCCTGAAGAACTCATCTGAATCGTTTTGTTGGGTCTGTACAATGAAAATTCTTTTTACATTTTTGCTCCAGGAACTAAGGATGTTTTAAATACGGATTCCTTACAATTAGGCTTATGTTATTTACACTATTCAAAGGTTACTTTTCCTTCCCACAACAAAATGTGCAGGAGGATTTCCATGCTATACAGTGTAAAAAGAGACTTTAAAAAGCCAGAACAATGCGAGAAAAACTGTACAGTTTTTGTTCCCTGCTCCAGTTCATTGCACTATTCGGTTAAAATGGATGAGTTGTCATGCCCAGAAGACTTAATGTAGGATCAGAAAATCCACGCACACACAAAGGAGGTAAATGGGTACTGGTTTAGGTATAGTACCAAATGGAAGAAAATACTATGAGTTATTTCCATGGAAAGCTTCTCATCATAGGAAGGAACATGGTTAATTCTGAAAGGCAGCCCTCTTCACGTAGGACACAGAACTGTAAGAGACCACAAAGATACCTGAATAAGCATCAGTGAAGTTAGCCTGTATAAAAATGTACTGTTTATACTAGAAATAACTAAATCTTGAATTCTACCCTATCAGTTACACAGCAAAAATCTAGAAATCATTTGAAACTCTCAATTAAGATACCATCTTCTCCTCAAAAGAAGATTAAATGACACAACCCACTATCTTTAACTAACATTATCCAGAATGAGTTAACTAAAGGTCATGTCTTAAACAGTGCTTTATGTAGTGCTATATTAGAGAACAGAACGCTAACTAAAAGGTGACACATGCAATTATGTATTAAAATATGCACTGAAAATTTGGGATTCTAATTCTACTTTCTAAATCTGGTGTGTGTACTTGAATCACAGACAGTGGGAAGACAAGACATGTCCTTCACATGTTTCTCATTCCTGTTTCACATACAAGACAAACCTCGGAGCAATCCAGCTTTCAAACCAATGCTAGCACAACACAAAAGCAAACAGAGAAGTCAGCTATGACAACCAAACAAAGACTTCAAAGACAAGAAGATGAATATTCTTGTTATGTTAAATGCATATTTTATTAGTAGAATAAGGGTTAAGAACTTGCTTCACTAATAAAAAAATTTTGTTGTTCATTATTGGAAAACAAGCTGCAAAATGAAATTTATTTCTACTTTTATGACATCTACATTCAGAAAAAAAGCCCAAGAGAAAATAACACTATATATATTTCATCTACTTTACTCAGTGATAATATGTAGTAAGTTTTTAGCACTACATTTTTATGTCACAATCACTGTTTAAGAACAATTGGACAAGAGCACAGAGCTTAGTAACACATTTTAAAACAGCTTACTATCAGGATACATCTGATGCCAAAGACATTTGTTTCATTTAGAAGTACATACCTACATACACACATACACAGACCTAGCAATTTATGCTTTAAAAATGTCAGAGTTATTTACATATTACACTTATACTGGAACTGAGGAAAAACAGTCTTTCAGTGAATGATGTATTCAATTTTTGTTCTGTACTACCAGTAATATATTCAACAGTTATCCAACTGAAATTAAATCTCCAAATTTTGTAAAAAAGAATTAAAATAAAAATAAAAAATAAAATCAATAATTCTGAAATAACATGTCAAACTTGATACTAGACAAAACTTTCCTACAAATTTTGATCGTATGTATAAAAAAATGTATTGATTTGCTACTTAAATATCTTAATTAAGAAATGTTAGCTTCCTTCAGACTTCTTTAATTATTTCTCCTCACTTCCATAACTGTAAAATTGGTTAATCCTACTTCCCACCAAGCCTTCCTCAGCTACTACTTTAAATTTGCTGTTTACTCCCTCCTAGCAGGTTACCCCCACACTGTTTATTCTTGTCATCATGCATAAGAGGGAATCATGTATGAGGACCAAATAAAATATATATTATTTTTTGAAACATTTTTGAGATAGCAGAAATTGGAAAATGAGAATTTTTTCTTTTTTTTTTTTTAAAGTAAAAAACAAAACCAAAAAATATCTTACGAAAACGAGTAATCCTGTTCAGAAATACACAGGGAGCTTTCTTTTTTCCTGACATAAAAAGAACGAAGTCTTTGCAAACCCCTCTGACAGCTCTGAGTTGCACTGGCCTTCTTTGTTTCTTTATTATGCTGCATCTGCAGAGCAATGCTCTAAGATTTCTCCTGACAGCATTTCAGTTGTGTTAGTTGACACTTTTACATAAGCTATGAAAAAACCATAGGAACGATCCATTGTAACACAGGTCAGTAGATCTAGTCATACAACTCTCCTTCAAGTTCTAGCCCTATGCTCCAGCTCTTGACTAAATTGCCTTGCCAAAATAAAGTTACTCAATCATCATTCAATTAATGTATCAAGTATTAGATGATACATATGGTGGGGTTGGTGGTGTCTTCCTACATGATGCAAATTTAGTCTTTCACAAGCTTTACAATTAATTTTGGCATTTAGTTCAAGATATTCAAAACAGTGACATTTCTACCAAACACTACAAAGTTCAGAGAAGACACAAACATATTTCACTTTCTTTCTGTTTCTATCAGAACAGAAGCGGCAGGACTTGCTTTAAAATAAACACTTACTGCTTAGAGTAAGGTCTTAGAGTTCTATTATCCTTCCAGGCTCACGACACTTTCTGATCCATTACAGTATACCAATAATGCTATGGAAATCATTAGAATCACTTTTCACTGATACTTTTTCTTCAGCTTGATTCTAAACAATGAAAGCAAATCTTGAGTTGTAGCTGACAATATCTACATTACAGTGTAATGCTGGCTTATGAGCTATAAATATTTAGCACAGTCTAAATATTGCAAGGGGAAACTCGGTTAAGGCTATAGTGATGGAGTGAAATTCCATGCTAATTAGCTTGAATATTGTGCAAACAGATCTACAGAAGAGTAAGAAGGCCTTAGTTCACGATTTCTTAGTTAAGAAACCATGATGTTTGAGGGGAAATATCTCTTCCTTTCGGTATGAGAAAGGTAAGAGAGATTATCCTTTAAACACCCGTAATAAATCTTATACAATAAGAGGCATAATGCTTCCCTGAGAGTTTATGAAGAACTGTTTGATCCAACACATTTAATGCAAGCACAATCTATAATTGTGCAACTAGCTGGTAGAATATTCCTGCTGACTTTAGAGTCACGAGCATGCAGAAAAGAGGTAGGAGGGAACCTCAGAGATTCTTACATCATCCTGTCATATGTTCAGTTAATCTGTGTATCTTATAAAAAAAGCTCTGCACAGAAGATTCCTGTTTCCCTCAACAGTCAGGGTGCTTCTTCTCAGCATCCAAGTAATGTAAAAACTTTTCTCAATAGTTACATCTAAAAATAAGGGGAGACATTGTAAAGAACAATCCATCCAGTTTCTGCCAGATGCATTACGATGAAAAGCAAACAGCTTTAATTACTGACAACAGTTAATTGTCTTGGATTGAAAATTCTGTTTCATAAAACTAATGTTTAGTGCCATCACCATTAAAAAACCCTTGATCTTAAGCTTAAGTGGCTCTCAGCTCATACGCAAATATATCTGTCTAACATAAGAAAGATTTTCAGAAAGGGTAAGTAAACAGTGGAGCAATTAAAGGAACCAACTGAAAGAGCTTCGTACTCTTATTGTATGTGGCAGTTCTGCAATGCTACATGAAAATCAGAAATGAGCCTCTTTCAACAGATGTCTGTTGAAACTTCTACAATGCTATGTGGTTCTCTTATCAGTTTTTCTGAAGCAACAGCAAGCTAACTTTCATCTACAACTGTAATTTGGAAGTATTCAGATCTCTATGAGATGAATGGTTAGAATCTGTGTAAGAAATACGAAAATCTTAAAAACAACAACAAAGAAAACCCCACAGTAATAGTCACATGACTATATTTGAAATAAAAAGAAATTAAAAATAGCAAGACTTCGAAAACTTGATACTAAAAGGACAGAAAAAACTGGGAAGCATGAAAACTTGAAGCTGAACAGCTGAATATAACCTACATTTGAGTGACAAATAAAACAGCATCCATCCATCATTCCTTTAGTATACCTGCTAGTTCTGATCTTGGGAGTCTGATGAATGTTTTGAACTCTAACGAAGTAAGAACAGTGTATATGCCAAGACTTAAGCAATGACATAAGTGTTTTTAAGATGTGGGCAAAAAAAAAAAGCCAAAGAACTGTGTTTAGAAGCAATTTAACAACCTGGAAACTACCTGGAACAACTCCTTCAAGTTAAAACTAGCAGTGATTTTCAAAGTCTCCCATTCTGCTAATAAGACTGGAAAATAAATGATTAGTACACAAACTACAAGTAAAAGATGAAGGTATGATAAATACATGTAAAATAAATAATACAGATTAGAAGGTAACACATTTTTATGCAAAGTTTTAAGCACTTCATTTTGAAAATACTAAGAAGTTTGAGTTCTGATTCTAAGAACCTGGTAACATGCAGATGAACTACACCCATTTAACTTTATAACCCAGGCTACTCTGCTCTCACTGAATTCTTCAGCTACGTGAATGTACATGCATACTTCACTACACTGCATTATCACAAAAAAAAATAATCATGTTGTATTAAGAACTACGTGCTCACAAGGCCCTGAATGAAAGACTTTGCAATAAAAGGCTAACATAACTCATGTTATAACTACTCTTTTCAAATACATCCTTTATATTCAGCATGTTAATATAAAATTAAAAAAAAAAAAAAAGTTCCTTTGCTAGGAAACATACTCACCCTTTAAAATATAGTCTGTTAACAAGCTTGGCACTTTCTCGCTATCTTCTTTCATGGCATGAAGGACTAAAGTGTGGAAACAAAAACAAACAAACAAGCAATTCAGACATCTAGTCATAAATTAAAGACAACACTTATAAAAAAAAAAAACAAACAGCAAAGCTGTTTCTACTATTCATAGGGATTTACATATTACTAGCAAGAAAACCCTTAACTGGAGTACAAGAAACACAAGAAGGGACATGTAGTATCTTCATCCTTCACTTGTATAATTCTCAATGTGCTCCACAGTAGGCAGATTCAAGAGAACAATTTTGCATGGCTAATCGTTTACAGTAAGATGCCATCAACAATGACAGCAAAAATAAAAAAAATAAATCACAACATCACTGAGGTTGGAAAAGACTGCTAAGATCATCTTGTTCAACCACCAGTGCAACTTCACCATGCCCACTGACCATTTCCCTCAGTGTCACATCCACAGGGCTCTTGAACACCTCCAGGGACAGTGAGTGCACCACCTCCCTGGGCAGCTGTGCCACTGCCTCACTGCTCTTCTTGAGAAGAAATTTTACCTAACATTGAACCCGAACCTCCCTTGGTGCAAATTTAAGGCCATGGCTTCTCATCATTACCTGGGAGAAGAGGCCAACCCACAGCTCACCACAACCTCCTTTCAGGAAGTTGTAGAGAGCGATAAGGTCTCCTCCGAGCCTTCTCTTCTCCAGACTGAACAATCCCAGCTTCCACAGCTGCTCCTCCTAAGACTTGCGCTCCACTCCCTCACAGCTTTGTTGCCCTTCTCTGGGTGTATTTTCACCATCACAAGCCTTGCCAACATAAAGTCACCATATCCAAAAGTGAAATGTACTAACAGGTAAGAAAAGTGTGCTGCATACTTGTCTTTTTTAATCTTCAACTGAAATCATGTAATGATGTTACTTTTCCAGGATGTGCTGCTGTAAATGATTGAATAAAAAAGATCATCTATTCTGGGACTTCTTATGTTCTTATATATTATATATAGTTTAATATTAATCATTCTAATCAATAGGGAAAAGATTCAAAATTCATGTGCAACATTCTTATGTTTAGAGAGATAAGTACATAAGCATGTATGCAATGGAATGTCAGGAATTTTTACAGCTTGTTTATGGTGCACAACTTTTAAAAATTAAAATGGTACAAAATTAAGCAACCTGGCACACATAAGATGTCTGTTATTTCATTAACAAAACTAATGACAATTCTTTATGAAGTGTTCTTGGCTCAACTGAAACAATTGCACATAAAGAAATAGTACAGAATAGCATTATTTCATAAGCTCCAAATTTCTTGTGTGACAATGAACTTCAAATATAATAAGTGGCTTATTTCAACTTTTATGTTGAAGAAGGCATGAGTGCTCATAACTATAGAATAATACAAAGCTTTGGGAGGAAAAGAAACCACCCTCAGAAAAAATCCTCCACCTTTCTTTAAGGTCTGTGTTAACAACAGCAAAAGAGAGAGTCAGGAATCTGCAACCGAGTCACAGGGTCAAGTTCCAACCAGCCTACAGAAGGCCATACACTTAATACTAATAAAATAATACTTAATAAAAAATAATATTAATATTATTTTTTTAATTATATTAATACTAATAATATATTAATACTAATAATATTAATACTAATAATAATACTTAATAAAAAATATATTTGGAATGCTTTTTCCTTTTTTTTTTTTTTTTTTTTTTTTAAACAAGACATTTTGTCAGTAAACCATTAAAACAATATATGCCATTTTCAGGAGGTTTTTATCTCTCTCTTAATATCAAGTTTTTGTTAATATTTTTAAGCAAAATTTAAATACGGCAAGAGGGTAACATTACTCTGATGGACTGAATATAAAACGTGAAATATAGTGCTTACAGCAGAAAGACATTAGGAATGTAACTTCCATTTAAACATTTCATTACTTCAGAATTTGTCTGATATTTATTTTCTCTTTCCAAGAAAACAACCAACCAACCCGTCACTATTCTTTAGCCACCTGTGGAATAACAGATGTGCAGCCGGAAAACACCTTACGGCATTGTTAGATTCCAAGCACTGCACTGTAATACAATCAATCTTGGGTCAAACTGATCAACTGGATGTGACTGTGGGAAGTCTGACCTAGTGGTTGGCAACCCTGCCCAGAGCAGTGTGACTGAACCTAGATGATCTTTAAGGTCCATTTCAACCCAGGCCATTCTGTGATTCTATCATTCTATTAACTGAAAGATGTCCCAGCCCATGGCAGGGTGATGGGACTAGACAATCTTTGAAGTCCCTTCCAACCTAAACCATTCCATGATTCTATCAAATGCATCAAGGCATTTTATCCTCTAATATCAAACTGTTCCTGCAAATCTCAAAAAAGAGGAGATGCCATTGATTACCTGAGATTTGCTGCTTTATTTTATCACCCTAATAATTAGTATTTAATTTTTTAAGATGCAACCTTAACTGTCATGCAAATTCCAGTATAACATAGAGGACTTTGAACTTAAAAATAATTTTAAAGATCTGGTCTAAGAAAATAAGGAGAATTTAGAAAACTGTCAAAACTCAGGTTTAGTTTATATGCCACAATTACTAAAATTTATTAACAAACAAACAAACCAACCCAAAATCACCAAAAGAAAGATAAAGGCTAGTTTAAAAGCAAGCAAGTACAATGAGACAATCTTATTTGTTGCTGCATTCATTTTAATTTCTGTAAGTTGTTACAGTAATATCAGTAAGGTACAACAAATTTGAACAAAAGGAGGTGTTTCAGGTACCAAAAGGTAGCAGAAACAGAGATACATCATAGACTATTTTGTGACATACAGTACTGCTTTAAGTCTCCATTCATGGAAACAGTATGAAAACCTTTGCTTTCTGATGCAAGTTTTTAGACTCCAGAGTTTCAGACAGCAGCTAGAAAATGAATATTCTGCAAGGACTCAAAACCTCAGAAGAGGAGGTCAAAAACACATTACATAAATTATAGTGTGAGACAGAAATAGACAACCACGTAAGTATGATTCATTGGTTTGAGCAATCACTTCCATCCACAGAGAACAGGATGAGCTGGGGAAACACTTTTGTACTTACTTTTGGTTAATGTCTGAAGATCTTCAACAGATGGAGGTCCATTTTTCTTCTCGTAAGGGATGACGGTTGTTAAATACTGTCAAAAAAAGCGCAGAGTTACTTCACAATCTTTTAACACCACGTATGTTACCTGGATTCTTTTCGTGAACACTGTAGCTATTAAACTTGCTAGCCAGAAATAACAGCTTTTCAAAAATTGTACTTCACAAGTGATTAACATTCTACTTCTCACACTAAGCTATTATTACAGAAACTATTTTTTTTTTTTTCAAAATTATGTAAACATCTCTTTAAAACTCATGCAGCAAAACACTAACAAACAAACAAGATGACAAAAAATGGAAGTTGTAGATAGTCTGGTATTCTTTCTCAGAGCCTAAGCATGACAGTAGTAAAATCTAAAATCTCTCCACTTTCCAGATGTCAAGAACAAGTCCTTCATATATTTTAAGTACTTCTTATAGGGAAGCAAAAGCTAGAACAATCATCTCACTATCTGGTAAATATATTTCCAGATAAACAATTCTTATTTATGTTTCCCTCAAATCATTTGGGAAACTGATATTACTCAGCCTGTAAAGGATTGCAGAACATATCTGCTGCAGGCTGTGAGAGGCGTGTGAAATAAGATATTCAAGTTTGTACAAATGTGCTAACAGCTACTTAGAAAATATGGCCATATACTGTGCTAGAAACATTTTAGAACAGCCATGGGATTTTCCCAGTGACTGCTGAACTCCTTCTAAGTGTATGAAACATTCCAAAGATCTTGGTAGATCAAAGAGTGCTGCCCATTCCCATCTCTGACGGTGATCTATATTGTCCTCTGTACAAAGAAAATTAGACTGCCCTACAGTCGGGTGAAAATGAAAACAGACAGCTTTCACCTTCTGACCCTGTAATGCTTCCAACCAAAAGGAACAAAGAAACCTAATCAAACATGAACCCATTGCTTGCACTTAAATTTGAACTTTCACTTTTACTAGTCAAATATGCTGGTAGATCATTTCAAACCAACTCCACGTTTGCTTTATTTACTCTTCATTGAAATCTTTCACTCTCATCTGCTTTTTTTTTAAAAAAAAAAGTCTTACATCTTTCAGGATTTTACTGCCTAGAGCTTTCAAGCTCTTGAAGTAACCCTATTGCTATAAGATTTATTACATAAATTAAAAGTCACTGGGATTTTTCCTAATGAAAAAACTTCCATTTTTAAGAATTTACTTGAAATGCTTTTTGTGGTAATTATGCATAGGGTATTAGATGAAGCAACATTCCATTTCGCATTCAACTTCAGAGATTGTAACTCTTCACACAACAATGACAAAATAGGTCACTTCAAAAATAATTTCATATTTATTTCCATGAAACTACAACAGAAAAAATGAGCACAATAACACTACTTGAGAGCAAATTCTCAGCTACAGAATACTATTTCTCAATAAAGTCACCACAACTAGCTATGCATTTTCACCAGCTATGAACAAGAACCTATATGCCACACTTGTAAATATCTGCATGGCTGCCCAGAACACGGCTTGCCTTCACATCACTGTCACCACTAATGAAATGTACCACCCACCACCTCACTCTGCTCACATCCACAGTTTGGTCTCCATAAATGTTCAGCAACCATTGATTAATGTCAATGGGTGCCATTTTTTTTCCACACAGAGGAAATCAATTTCACCCCTTTGCTTCATACACACTTCCATGTCAGATGCCATCCTATTAGACTTCCTTTCCGCTGCCATCTGTCACATAGCATGTAGCAGAATATAGATGGGAATGCTCAGCCTCTACTGTCATACCACCAACATCCACCTCTGATGTCACAAACCAACATAATAAAATAGCAGGCATCAGTTGCAGAGAAGCCCTTGTACATTCTACATCGTATCTCCTGTAGTATGGCCAACACTTTAGCAAGAGTCAATTGTAACTCAGACTCTGGTGAAGAAGTTTACTTTGCAGAAGAGCTGGTGTTGCCAAAGCCAGCTATAACCATTGCTATGATTAGAGTGAGATGATGCAACTTATGTCTTTATGCTTAAAAGCCAGGCAGACTCACTTCTGTATAATTTAAAAGAACGTTGTATGGGATGTAGTGACACCTCACCACAACCTTGAGCAAAGATGGGGTGCTTTAATTCCTCCCTATTATTTCAGCACTTTCCTCACATCCACTTAGCACAGAAAAGCAGGCAGTGCTTCCAAGGAAGCCATCCATGAGTCAGTTTTCAATTTCTTCCCCAGCAGATATATCACAGAGATTTGCATTATTCCTAAAACCAAGAAAATCAATAGCTAGATACAAGGCTGTTAAATCTACATTTGTCAGAGATGAAAGTAGATCTATTAACTCAGGAATCAGATCTTAGGCTGTTCTTTCCAGCCCTCAAAATATTCAAGTGCCATTCTACCCTTTACCAACCTGCACAATAAATAACTGAGATACATTTTAATGACTAAATATATGCTCCTTGTTTTCCTTGCCCCACAACACCTACCTACCAATTTCCCTTTACAATGAAACAGACAAAAACAATAACCATGTAATTGTTTTCTTACTTTCCAAAAATCACCTCATTTTTCTCATCACCACTTAGCTGTTAACAGTGAGTCTCCCTAATGGCCGTAATAAAACTCATTCCCTGAATTACTCTGTGAAGAACACATTACGAAAATGATTTGAGTATAGCTTACTGACATGCCCAAGCATTAAATCTACTGTGACCTGTACATTTTTGACATACATTTGACAATATGATAAGCAGCAATCCCCACTGTAATTTGTAGTCATACAAAGTGTTTGATATGTATAATAAGTGAAATGAAAACATCTTGCAATTCCTTCTGGAGATAAGACCGCAGAAAGAACTGACAGCACTGTGATGCTTTTCATGCTGTTGTTGGCGTTGTATTTTCCCAGCTGCATTATCAGATGGGAACTGGTGGTTCCCACTGGAAACTTCACTTTAAATTTTACCATCAGTGAAGACACTGAAAAATTCTAAGTTGTGTTTACTCATGCCTCAAAGACAAAAAAAAGAGGATTACAGTTTTCAAAAGGAAAGTACCTACCTAGTTTTCAGAGTAGCACTATCCTGAACATAGTCAAGACAGCAAACACCATTGAAATTAATGAATGACAGGAGTTTAGAAAGAACTGAACAAACATGTCAGAAACTTTATGCTGTGATTGAATGGGTATGAATCTCAACCTTGTAAGGCATTCAAAAAATTGTCTGCTCCTGCATTTTTTTCTTTTTTTTTTTCTTTAGTACAACCCCAGGGGGTTACATAACTCTTCCCAGCCACACAAAAATACCTGAACTTAAGTTTATAAGCACAACAAGCCCTGAAGACAGACTCATACAAATGTTCTGAGAGTAATACTAAGCAAATTAGATTACACTCAACTATCACAGGGTATAAGATGGTACTTATTCTGCTTTCTAACTTGCTGCTGTAAGAAAAACACAGTGTCTTAAAAGAACATCCAGAGTTGGGTAAAATGACAAAGGAAAAATGAGCAAACCAAACAAGTGAAAAACACAATAAGACTGACACTGTAAGAAAAGTTTTATAATGTTACCTACGAGGCATTTACAGAAAAAAAAATATCCTTCAGTTAACAGATTTTGAACAAATGCCACAGAAAAATGGTCTTCCAGGACTACTCTAGAAAGAGGCAGTATTACATCTTCCTTTCTCCCTTCTTTTTCATTTTAAGCTTCTTATTTTCATGATTAACTTTAGGATCCAAGAAAGGGAAACAAAATATATCCCCAGATAACAAGAATATATATAAGACAGATCAGGGGAAAAGTACAATCATAAAGAACAGCAGTATTAAATTAACAAGAAAAAAAATCACTGGAAGTTATCCTAGTTAGTGATATTGGAAGCAAATAAAGCTACTTACGATTAGAATCAAGAAGAAAAGGTGTGTTTTTATAAACATACAGAAAATAAGTCTGAGCTGCCTGTTTGTATATTTGAAACAGCTAAAAGCAGCAGTAGTTAGTATTTTCTGGTAAAGATAGCAACAAAAACAGTACAGCTGTAACTGTAACTGAAGAGAGTTGAGATAATGTAAGGCAATACAAATTCTATTGGGTTAGGTCTAGCCACGTGCTCACGATCCAAAAAGCAAGTGACAAATAGCTGAATCTATGCCTTCATTAACACATAGACACATACCTTGCTTGCAAAAGAGGGTAAATCATGATATATAACCTCATGATAATACTACAGTTCTGAAACAAACAGAAAGTATTATTTTGGAATAAAAAATAAAAATCTTGTTTCTTAGGTGTATGTAACCTCTCCAGGGATGCCCAATGAAGCTGGGCTGTGTATGAGTTCCAACAGTCAAACAGTCAATAAAAAGACACAAACCTGCCTTTCCCTTTTGTGTTACCTCAGTAATCTGCATTGTACATATTCCTCTGCATTTAACATCATGCAGTTTTCAATGGCAAAAGGACATACAATAAAGGCCATGCATTTTGCAGATGCTACTCAGATTTTAAGATATATCAGTTCTGACCACTGGAAGAAAGGAAAAAAAAATTCCATTGTAGACATGTCTCAAGTCCTTTAATGCTGAAAGCTAAAATGGAATGTCAAATCCGGTATACGTTCTTCTGTTGGACATTCAATTTGCACAGACATGCAACATACCTAAAGCACGCATTACGTCAAATCAGACTTTTAGTCTGGGGTAAGAAACAAGAGCTATTACTTCAGTGCATCAGGGTATCAAGCCCTGACTGTCTCATCCCATTGAGGAAAGATGGAGAGACGGTAGGCTGATCGGAGTCCTGAGGCAGAGAAAGACTACAGATGGCAACATTTTTGTCCTATTTTTTCTTTCTGTCTTGGCACATATATTCAACTAATGGTAATTTTCAAGATCTCAGCTCCTATCGAAGGTTCAGACAAAGAATGAGGAAAAGAGTGAGGATAGCCCAGCACCTGTTTTTCTCCACCCGAGTTTCCAAACGTGTGGCGGAAGCCATTCTGTATGACATTTGAGATCCCTTCCATGCTGAAGCGCTAAAGGTAGTGAAAACATGGCAGAGAAAAAAATGGACAGAGAAAAGTTCAGAAGGCTAGCATTGATCAGCATTTATCACAACGATAAAAGTAAGACAAATGACAAAGACAAGCTCTAAGATGTATTTCAGCACATTTCTACTTCTTTCATTCGTCCACTAAGTTTTCATTAATAAAAAGCAAACCTTACGGTATCAGCTGAACAGTATATCTACGTCAAATTTAATTAAACAAGATCTTTCACACTTCAGATCCAAAATTCGTATTTTTGAGACTTGTATTTTAAGGTTTGCCATTTCATTTCTCAACACTTAGAAGTTTAATTCACAGTACAAACCTTCTTTAAAGCTTATGTTTGAGCAATACATTTCTAGAGACAATACAGACCCTGCTGATATCAGTTTTACAGATTTCTATTAGAAATATTTCTCAGAGGCAGTCATTTTACTTCCAACCTCTTCAGAACATTTTATGCTTCCTTTTCCACTCCTGAAGCAACAAATAACTATCACCTGTATTCCTCATTTTTTTTTTTTGGTCAGATAAAATATGCACAATTGGTTAATAAAGCATTCATATTAATTTCAAGCTCCATTACACAGAACCCAAGTGAGGAAAAATTAATACACAATCCAACCAGTTTTCTTCACACATATTATAATCCTTTTTGCTTGCAGGAAAAGATGATTAAAAAAAGAAACTGGAACAATTTTGACATTCAGGATTAAACGTAAAACGCAGCAACTGGCAAGAACATAAGAAGAAGAAACTGCCAAGCTGCTGACAGAGGGCAAGCAGTACGGTGCGCACACCTGAGCACATTTATCTAAATGTATATATTTATGGGAAGAGAAGAAAAATGTGCTGGAATACTGCATTCATTTGCTTTCCAAAGCGCAAAAGGGTCAGTAAATAAAGACACAGATTTTACCAAAGCCATTTTGAGTCTTCCAGGAAATTCTGCTTAAAGTAACTGGTATCTTCATGACTTGAGTATTTTTCATTACTCTCACTATGTGCTTGTGAAATGAGAGTTGGAAGTATGAGAAAATGACTTACCCAAAGTCTGTATCAATGACAAAGAATTACAACTTGTATTCGTTCAAATTCAAATGATGTATCCATAGAAGAACTGATTTTCTCAGAATATGAAAATGTAATCCTATTTCCTATTAAATCCTAATAAAGTTTTGTATTTAAATGAGACTTCAGCATAGCTTCAGCTAATAGGTAATTAACTTTATTAACAAAAGCTCACTCTTCACAAAGTAATCCAAATATACTACTTATATACACACTCCTTGCACTTCTTTGGAAAAAAAAAACAAAAAACTGAAGGAAGAAACTTGTTCCTTTGTTTCTGACTGAACGTTTCCAGATGTGTATAGATAGTGGAAGCTGTTTTCAAAGGCACTTACTAAGCCTATAGTCTATCTGGGAGATAATCAGTTCAACTCATCTAAGGAAGTAATCTGATATGTACAGCTTGAAGCAACCAAACCTGAGAATGTTTTATAACAGAACCAATACTTTGGTTCTTGAAAGCATTATTCAAGCCTCTAAATAATCAGAATAAGTAATGAATCACCTCAGTCAAGTTTTAAAACCAAGTAATCAGGTTTTTTTTTTCCTAGTTAGAATACCACTTTTTCCTCATCAGTGATTGAGAGCCAAAAAGGAGTACATCTCCACTCTGATTTGCTGTTGCAAAGAGACAAAAATTCCATATTGCTTTCCAGACACCCACTTTCTCCAAGTTCCATTAAAACTCAGCTAGACACACAAAGAATGGTTTTTCATCTGGATTGGTAAAGATTTTCAAATTTACATAAAATACTCTTAGTATAAATGGCAAAGATTAGCACAATTCCATGTAAAGATGCAAATGTATCAGTTTACTATAATTTAGTAAGCTGTAGATATTAACACAAGGCTTAGCAAATTTGTCCACAGTTTTTTTTTTCCACTTAAGGAACGGGAAAAACAGAGACCAAATTAGATCTACTGGTACAACACCAGCCAGGAAATCAGAACTGCTTTCTGTCAGGACCCATCTTTTGGACAAGATGAACAACTACTACGTTTGGATTGTATCACAATTATCCCATTCCCATAAGTTTCTAAGGTAGATTTTGAAGAATTAATGTTTCATGACAAATGTTTATTCATTTATGTTTGAAAAATGAACTTCTCAAGCAAAACTGAAGCATTCTCTGGGGCTTAGCCAGACCCACAATACCTCAGCTACGTTTTCTGTACTCTATAAGAGAAGTTTAGGAATTCTAATAATGTCCCATTTCAAATTACACTGGACAGATAAGACAAAATTACATTGACAAGAACGACCTAATTTCTCTCATTGCTTGCCTCCTATTTTTCAAAGTCGGTTTGAAAGACATTTCTCCTTTGAAAAAAACAAGTTTTTTTGTTTATTTCCTCCCTATACATCTGCATTAAATATTGGCCTTACCTCAATCTGTTATTGGAGGTAACAACTTTGATGCAGGTTTCAGAGACTGAGGGTAAGATTTACTTTTTCTAGCCCCCGGTCAACATGATTAATAAATATCTGAACAGCTCCATCAATAATACTGGATTTCCTATAGGACTAATTGTGGTAAACATACTGAAATTCACACTGTAAAACCAAATGAAACAGATGGATGAGCTTGCCTAATCTGATAATAGAACACAGCACTACATCAAAACACAGCATTATTGGCAAGAAAGGTATCCTGATTGCAGGCAAATGCGCAAACATGTTATTCTTAATAAGAAATGTAGAAGAGCAAAATGTTATATCAAAAGGTTATATCTATGGTATGGAAAAAGATTAAAAAAAATTGGAAGTGTCTAAGAGTCTTGTTTGTGAATAAAGGCATGAAAGATGTACCAGTTATCTTGGTCTAATCAAGGACTATTACTTTTCCAAGAGAAGAACGAAAAATATTTTGAATTTAACAACAGTTATGAATATATTCTTATTATAAATATATTCTTACTGTTCCAGGCATATGACCTCTTTCTTGCTTCCCATTCTGAGGACTACCATTTTTCAGCTTCTTTTTCTTCTTTGCTGTTTCTTTGTGCTCTCTCTGTTTATTTTGTACTTCGATGAGGACAGAAATGAAGCTGTTTTTCACTTCCTTCTCGAACTCCAACTCATCCCGCAGTGCCAACTGCTGCACCAGCTCCTCAGAATAATCCTTAATAGCAGTCTCAATTTCTTCTAGCAGTTCATTTAACTCAGCAACAGACAATCTTTTTACTCCTGTAAATAGTTAACAGAAAAATGCAATCAGTCAAGATTCTAAGCACGAGAGAATACGCGCAGGATGACATGAAAACAACACTTTGACTTTTTTCAGAACAACAAAGTACATTCTAAAACTACACAAAACAAATCAGTATTCATAAAGGAACAAGTTCATCATAGAAGAAACTAGATTAGTAATAACTGAACTTTAAACTTTCTGCTTAGTTCTGAGAAATCTGATATAATCCACTAATACGAGGGGCACGCTGTAGTTAAGGAAGCTGAAATAACCACTAGACTTGGAATACTGACACCCTTGTTAACTATTGCTTTCCTCCTGCACCCACTCTTCAGAAGAAGATTTCTCCATATTTTCTTCCAAAGCAGTCAACACTTTGGCACTGCTGGAATTCTTGGATTTTTCACTTACAGTAACACAGAAACTACGCGTGCTCTGAGTGAGGGGATCCTCCTAGGTTTACTGGCAAGGCATGCACACATCTTAATAGAAACAACAACATGCTTTTATGATAAGATGCATTTAGTACAGGGAAAAAAAACAAACCAAAACACTAGCTTCCAAGTTTCTTTGTCTGGGGATTGTAATCAAAAGTATTGCCTGAAACAAACACCTAAAATTAAAACTATCCAGTAGGCTCATTTCAAGCAAAAATCAGTACTGATGGTTTTGAGAAAGCACAAGCCTAAACTGGTGAAACCTACACCAGAAGCCTTTAAAAATGACAGTTTGGAAACTAAACCAACCCTTCAGATTTACATTTTAAAAGTACTACTGCTACAGACAACGAGCTATGACCACGAGGATCTCCCGAGGCTCACTTCAGCTCAACCTGAAAAAGCTTTTTGAGGACTGCTTTCCGTTTCAGAACTCAAAATAACGTCTGGCATGCCTATGAACTAGTAAATCCCAGATGCTATGTCAAAGAACGTCACTTTCACTGGCATTTGAAAAACAGGCAGTCCTGATTACAATGAAGAGCAAAATCCATTTAAAGACACTGCATATGTCTTCATGCATTGTGTTTGTAATTATTTGGTTATGTTCCATTAGTCTAGTAAACTCTTAGACAGGTGAGTACTCATGGGCAAATGCTGAAAAATACAGATAAATTCACAAACTACAGTACAGTACAGTTCTCAGAAGCATCAAAATGTAGTAGGTGAATTTCTCTCTTAAATTAGAGCAGGGAAAAATGATTGATTTGGGAAAGCTCCCTCTCACTTACCAAAGAAAATGCAATTAAACCTCTTAGGGCAATGAGCCTCAGTTTTTTCAGAGTAGCTTAGGTCTTACATTCTGCTAGAAGACTAACAGTACAGTAAGAGCACAGTACAGAATGGCAAAGGCTCCAAGCTTCAAGTAGATTGAACTGAACAATTCAACACATTTCCCATCCAAGAAAAGAGCAAACACAAGCTTTGATTTCTTGCTCATAATCCTAAAGATTAACACCTCTGACTTGTCCTACACAAGACAGACTAAGCTTCCAGGAAAAACCTGCGACCTGCAAAATTCAACAAATTCAGAGAGATGCTGACAAAACTTGGAAGCAGCCTTGCAAATGAATAAAAGTAGCAAAAGCTTTTCATAAAACAGTGAAAGGTGTGAAAGCTGATTCTGAGGAACTGGTGAAGAAAATTAAATTATCTGATGAAAGAAACTCAAGAGTTATTTGGTCAAGGCTCATTTTTAAGCCATAAAGATGCAGCAAAGAAGATGCACCAGAGAAGATGATATTTATTTTCCTTTTCCTGAGGCAAGGCAAAATAAATATGGTATGAAATACAAAGCAAGCTTGATTAGCTCTAAACCTAAGGACATATGGAACTGTCAGAAGAGCAGAAAGCCCTGCTGTGCAGGATATGCTATGCTTTCACATTCCTGAGATTTATGTGTTAAGACAGCTACAAGTCCAACCATGAAAATGGAATCTCCTCCATAAATCTGAAATGTAGCAGAAGCTGTAAGGCATGTCACAAAAGGTCAGCTGGTTTTCTGAATCATCTGTAGAATTTATACTGCTGACCCAGACTATGAGAAAGAAAGCACCAAACTCCTATCTCTTTCAAGTACAGATTTCAACTAGCAGACTAATCAAATTTCCATCACGAAATTGATTAATTAGATTTATGTTTACAAGCAAATCAATATGTTTTGCTTACATTATATATGTAATTTCTCCTTTTTTATAGAAAATTGCAAATTTCCTTTGTGCAGTAAAGAGGAAGTATTTTTTCCTCTTACGGCTTTTTGAAAGGGAATGGCAAAGGTGGAAAGGGTTGTGGTCCTCAGATAGTAAAAAAGCAATGGTTTCTTACTTTTGTGTTACTGTGTATCAAGATTAGTTGCAATGACTGAAACAATACTAATGAAAACCCATTTCTTCATCTACAGTATAGCTTTCAAGAGCTTTAGCTAATCTCCTTAAACAGGAGCAGTACAACGGCCTAAGAAAGCACCTCTCTCCAGAATATATAATTTAATAAATAAAAATTATAGGCATCCCATTATCTATGAAAGGATTTCATTACAGCAAATTGAGCTCCAACACACAAATTCTATACAGTTCCATTTTCATTCTAAGTTAGGAAAGCTGACAAAGATACGTCTTCTATTTACATCCTAAATCTACTCTCTCCTTTTGGGAGAAATCCAGTATTTCCAAAATATTCCTGGATGCAGATATTTCATAAGAGGAGTCACTATAAACGAAGTATGTGACAAGCTTATCTATTAAACTATTTTCAACAAGTCTATTTCAATAAGATTGAATGATTTTCAGAAACTATTTTTTAGAACAAAATGCTAAATAAACAGCACTTACTCTCCTCGTAGCTGTTGTTTGTACTGGATCTCTTGAGTGTTTGAATTTCCTGGGAAAGCATGGAGAGACGGTCGGACTGAGTAGGTGTTTCATCATCTTCGGGATCAGGAGATTCCTGCATCATTTCTTCTATTTCTTCAATCACCTTCAAAAAAAGACAATCCTTATGAGAACTCTCACTGCAAGAGACACAGCTTGCAATCTGAAGCAAATCAATTTAGAAATCGTTACTATTATTGTTATTATTTACTTTCAAGTAGCACAGATGTTGCTAAGTGAAACTCATACTGTATGAGACAGGGTTCAGGAGAATGAATAAAATCACACTGATGTTTCCTACCCATCCTTTGGGAATAAGTGTATCTTTTCAAGCTACTCTGGTAGTTGTGTGGTGATCTCAATACAAGCAGTGTGTTGAAACCACCCAGCTATTTCCACATGAAGGTACACAAAGCTCTGCTTAAGAGAAGTGAAGTGTATGCTGGAATATTTTCCTGGAGGGTTTGGTCAAAGGAAAACAAAACAGCAACAAAGTCAATGAGGTTTTTTTTTTTTTTTAATACTCTCAAATTTCATTACATTTCTCTAAGCAAAACTCTTGTGTACTTTTATGGATGACACTTATAGAGAGAACTCAGTGCACACGGAACAAAGACGACATTTAAAAACACCACCCAAAATCATCTACTGTGAATGGAATTCTGTGTTCTCAGCTCTTTTAAGTCTGAATGTTTTTCTCCTTATCTCTGCTAACACAGCAAAATGTTCCTGTTAATCCAGCACTTGGATCAGAATGGAAGATCTCCACGACATGATTAGCAGAAAAAAAATAGTACTATCATTTCTTCAGAGCCATCTAAACCACAACCCTTTCTTCTTCTTATTATTTTTTTTTTTTGCTATTATATTATACTGAATATATTAGATTGCATTTGCTTACTAAAGTGGGGTGGATATTAACTTTACTCAAAACAGTAATTCTGAATAGAGCATAAATCCACTGATCTAGAAAAGAAGCCTTTGGATACCATGTAATGTAAATGCCTATTAGCAGAACTGTTATTTTGCTTTCATACAGGCAAAAACTTCAGAGAATTCTCACTAGTCACAAAGCCACGTGCAGATACAAATACCCACATTGTCAAGCTGGGAAACTACAAACATTACAGTAATCTTAATATATAGAAAATGTTTTGGCTTCTTAGCCCATGTATTTAACTTAGTAGTTTTTCTGACTTATTCCTGACAAGAAGGGTATAAAGATTTCAAAGACCCTGACTGTCTTACCGACCTCACCTGAAGCACTGGAATACCTTTTCAAATCTGAAGGATATTAAGAATATCACACACATTACAATGACTCTAAAAACAAACAAACAAACAAACAAACAAACAAAAAGCCCCCAAACCAAAACCAATCAAGAAAGCTAGCTCCTGTAAACAGCAAGCAAGAAGAATACAACATAATCATAGGTGAAAAGAAAATACTACAATATCACCACCGTGCTGAAAAATGTACCTGTTCCGCTGTGAACAGTGGTTCATCATTGATGCAGGAAACAATGATGGAATGCATATCCAGCTGTTCTCTCAGCTCTTCATCATCTGACAGGTCAAGGTTTAAGTTATCATTTACCTAGAAAGCATGAAAATTGAACACACACACACACACACACACACACACAAATAAAAACACATATACAGAAATTATAAAGGAAACGAAAGGGGAACTAATGTAGAGTTTCACAAACAAAACATTTTCCTTGCCCATAATACTGGTATCAATGCTTTTTGCTGTCAAGCATGCAGAAACTGAAGCATCTTAACCACTGAAATAGTTAAGAGAGGCGTCACTCTCGAAAGATGAAGAACTCAGCAATTAAAGATCACATACACAACGTCACGTAGATATCTGCATTGGGCTGACAGCTTTCCCTACAGATATTTAAAACAGGCAGTTGCCTTAAAATAAGGCTGACGTTATTCAGCGTGGAGTGGAAACCTACGTAGAACAAATATTAGACATCTGTGATTTTATGTGCTTTTAGAGTTTTATTTTTTCACATAATGAAAGCAACATAAAAAACTGTTCTAAAAATAGAATGTTTCCTTAAGTCTCCTCCTTCATCAATCACATATATTTTACTCTCATTCTCTGCCATATTATAGCTTATTTACAAATACTTTTAATATTTACAAATACCATTCTTTTTCTGCATTTTGTCTGTTATCACATTCCAGCCAAAACAACCTAGAAAAGCTAAAGTCATCTGAAAACACACAATTTGTATTTCTTCAGGCATCAGAAAGAAGGCGAGTGTCCTCTTTTTTTCCAGAATCTGGACTAACCACACAGTCACAGGCCTCCACTTGGAACATCTGCTCACCCACCACACAGACACATCTCAGTTCTGACATTCGTTCACGTCTGCAGTCCTGAAACAGTCAACGTCTATGAGATGGTAAGCAAGGATAACAGCACATCCAGAAGGAGGTCAGCTCCTCCTTCCTCACATCCCCACAAACATTTTAAGAGACTCAGAATATATTCTGATGGTTAAGCTAAAAAAAAAACCAACTAAAGCAGCCCAAAGCATAGCTGACACTAACCTGGCAGTGCACCCAGTCACACTGCGTGCCCATTTCAGGCCCCACACTCCCACTCCTTGCACTGGCAGCTTCAGCTTTTGTACCTGCCGAACAGACCAATTCAGGCAGCGACACGTCTGGAAGTAATCTAACAATAATATAATAACAGCAATTACGCAACCCTGTTCCTTGCACCACTGCACAGCACATCCTCCCAGCTTCCCCTTTCGCTGCCAGAGCTACGTAAAAGCATTCAGAGATCTGTGATGTCGAAGCAACAAAGATTTGATGAATCAACCTCATTCACCTTACGTTTTCACCTCCTAGAAGAGGAAGAAGCTCAAATCCAATGGCATATTACTAGCTTCAAACACATCAAAGAAGCATTACTTAGCTGTTAGCATTATTAAGAAAGTTAAAACAAGCTACTAGCTGATCCATATGTGCTGTCACATATCCAGAAGTACTACTGAAACAGAAGTAGGAAAAGAAATAGTGCTGAATGCCTCCAAACAGATGGGCTTCAGACATCCAAAGGCATGCCAGGTGGAGTGGAAGCTGAAATAACTTGAGCTATGTTTATTTCATAAACCAATTTCTTTTCTACTTCCAGCATACCTAAGATTCTTTATAATCCAGCAACACAGCTTCATATTTATGTAGTTCCTTCATAATTTCCTTACAAAAATTCCATTCAATATTTGTATATTGTAACTGGTTATCTATTAAGAAATCAACCTTCCACTCCACTGTTTCAGTCACATAAACACAAACACAGCACAGGGGGCTGCAACTGCTTTTAACTTTAAATGTAAGGATTTAATTACTTTAAAATCACTTAGAAAGTCGGAGCATGCTATTAATAAAAATTAGAATATATTCAAGTCAAAAAAATCAAGAGATAATCATCAGACTCCAACAGAGAAAGACAGAGACTCTGCAGGGGAAGATGGTGAAATGTGTTTTTTTTTTTTCTTTTTCTTTTTTTTTTTTTTCTGCTATCCTTTTCACTAGAACAATCACTGCTCTTGTCAGCATAAAAAGTACCTATGGATTCTTTAATGGATGGCAGAAATCAAAGCATTAATCTATTCTCAGGTTACACACTGAGATATTTTTACAACGTAATCCAACTTCACCATGCTTAAACAACTTGTTCCCTCAGAAGACCTGAGAGATGAGAATTCTTCCTAGCTTTCTTCCTCAAGTGTTTTAATCCATGTGTAAGAAGCTCAGAGGACAACCTTTTCCATAAACCTCACCGAAGCTCTTCCTTCTCCAGGAAACTATTCATTTGTTAAATAAGAAAACAGAAACAGAACTAAGTTGCACTTCTGTTCTCCTTGGTCAATTTTCCCATTAAAGAATCACTTCAATCTCCAAATGAATGCAGAATGAGATCAACTTTTTAAAAGTCCATACAAGATTTACTAAATCGGAATACTCCTTTTTTCCTCCCTTACCCAGAACATCTTTCAAAATGAAATGAGGAGAAAGTGCTTCAGGTAAACTGAATTGTATAACTGTCTACCATGCTGTGGTCTAAGTAGCACTGGCCTCCAAAGGCCTCCGTTTAACCCCACATCACTCCAACCCAAGCAGAAGCAAACATTCATCAACAATTGTTTTTCTCATGTCTAATATTCAACAGCCTCAAGTCTAATATCAAGCAAAATATTTTAATCTATTTAGTACCAACAGTACTTTATACAAATGCAAATTGCTTTATTTCCCTGCTGAGTGTAAGAGATTCAAAAAGGGTACTTCTGCAGATTGGAACTTACCCCTTTTTCTGAAAGGTTCAGAGTTGGCAAGTGCAAAGCTCTGGTGTGGGAAGATTTCCAGTCAACTGGCATTACGTTTCCATAATTATCAGTCAAAGCATTCCAAATCCTGGAGAAAGGAAAAGAGGAATTAAAACGTACAGCGTAACACAGTAAGCATACCTGTAATGGAAATATCTTTCTGCCTATGAGTATCAATTTTCCTCCCTAAATATTCACCTGCAATTACTGACAATATTTTTATTATGCACTGGAGTCAAGAAGCCAAGTTTTTTAAATAAACATCAATTATTTCTCATTTTAAATCCAAAATTTAGGCAGAACAGTAAAGTAAAGCAAGGTAAAAAAAAAAGAAAAAAAAAGTGACAGCCTTATTGCTAATAATATAACTCCACTCAAAATCTTCGTGGGGAGTGGGCAAGTGGGCAAGGCTTTCCCTACTGAAACTTGAGATCAGCTAGAAATTCTTTTCCTACAGTTGTCCCTGTCTTCCTTGCCTCCTGCAGATTAAAGTCAAGAAGTAGCAGAGGCTGACAGCAACATCTGAGTCAAACCTGTATTTTTGCATTAGCTTTCATGAAGCTTTTTTCCCATTTATCACAGAAAAACAAAGATACAAAGAATTTTGCTTTATCCAGCAGTACTCTTGCTGACCACAGCTCACCACTCTTCCTTACAGCTCATCTTAATCATTCCTGCATACAAGCAGTTCGCACATGCAGTCCTACTCTGGTACAGCAGTTCAGATTTGGACTGGAAGCACTGCAATGTGGGTGCGCCTCTGGAGCGGTTGCATAGCCAGGCTCATAGGGCTCAGCACTGAGCAATGCCTCTGACTCACGGCTCAGTGATGACCTCCCTGCTGGTACCAGATAGCCAGGCATCTGCTGAGGGGCTTTTTTTACCCCTTCTCTTGGAACAGGGCACCCAACCGACTTACCTCAAACTAAAAGAAACACCGCAGTGTTCCTAATGAAGTTATTTGGGAGCGAAATTTGCCATAAGGTGTAGCAACTCTTAAAATGAAGTTAACAGCAGGAAGGCAGCACAGGCCTGAAGCGCTCCGTTGCTGAGGGGAGAAAGCAACGACCACGGCTGCAAAACTCGGAGGTGCCGTTCCCACACTTTCCACGCGTGATTCCAAACGTGCGTTCGGCCAGAAGCCAGACTAACCGGGGACCCGGCGAAAGTGGGGTGCAGCGTTAGGCCCGTGCCCGGAGGCCCAGCGGTGCAGCACAGACGGGCACCGCGCTCCCCGCCGTTCCCCCTCGGCCGGACCGGGCCTCCCCATCCGGCCGGAACGCCGCCGCCCCGCTCCCCCTCACCCCGGGCCTGCACTCACTCGTCGTCCTGCAGCGCGCTCTGCTCCGTGAGCGGCCGCAGCGGAACGCGGCTCTCGCCGCAACCGGCAGCGCGGGCCGGGGGGGGCTCGAAGCAGAGGGACAACTTCGTTCCCAGATCCCATCCGCCTTTGTCGCCTCTGGCGGTTTCGGGAGCGCTCCCCGCCGAGGGCTGGAAGCCCGAGAAGTCCTGCCAGTCCCCCGGGTCTCGCTGCGAAGCCGCCGCCGCCATCGCCGCAGCTGGAGACGCCGGGCTGCGCGCCCCCGGTCACGACTCCGGGCGCCGCGCGCTCCCGGCGGCTCCGCGGGGTTCGGGGGGGAGGCGGGGCGCGTGACGGGCCGCGGTGGGCGGTGCCTTCGTGCCTTCGTTCCGGCGCGGCCGAGACGGAAACTGCGGGCGGCGGAGCTACGGGGCGCTGCTGGGACAGCCGGAGCCGCCCGCAGCCGCTTGGTGGGGATTCCCGGCTGTTCCGGGCGGGGACCCTTCAGCCCTGCTCGGTTCGAGGCGCGCACGGCACCTCGCTGCCTGCCCTGGAGTGGCGGCTCCCTGAGGTGCCCGCGTCGTCGCTCAGATGCGGTGGAAGCAGAGGCGCTTTAAAGGAGTTCTGTCAGCGCCGCTGAATCGAAGTGACAGCCGCAGGCCTGAGGCTGCAGTAGTCGCAGATAACCCGAGCTAGAAGGATAATCGAGTCCAACCGAGGATCATCCGACCCCCGGCTCCACTCAGCACCACCCGAAGTTCAAACCCGATGCCTGAGCTGTCCAAGCAATATTCCAGAGTGTGCCATGCTCAGTTTTGAGCCCCTCAGTATGGGATATGTAGGGGGTCGAATGTGTCCAGAGAAGAGCAGTGAAGCTGGTGAAGGGACTGGAAAACCAGCACTTAGGAGCAGCTGGGGAAACTGCAGCTGTTCAGAGAAAGCAGGCTGAGGGGAGACCTAGATCCCCCCAGCTGCCTAAAAGGAGCTTGCAGTGAGGAGGGTGTTGGCCTCTTCTCACCTGGCAAGTGATGGGACACAAGGCAACAGCCTCAAGTTGCACCAGAGGAGGGTTAAGTTGAATATCAGGAAGAGTTTATTTCATAGTGAGGGTGGTCAAGCATATCAAGCATAGGAGCAGGCAGTATTTAAGAGATGGGTGGATATAGCACTAAGGTTTAGTACTGGGGCTCAGTAGGTTTGGTGGATAGTTGGACTTGATATTCTTTCCAACCTCAATCACTCTGTGTTTCTAAGTTTCTCTGCTTAGCTTCTCTCATTTGTGTTCAGCCTTAAGTTTCTTTTCATTTTTCCCACTTGGTGTTTAGAAAGAGACAAAGCATCTCTGTCCTACATAGGCATTTCAAATGTAATTTTTTCTGATACTGATAGTACTGCAACAGAGGCCAGGACTGCTTCAAGTGTTCAAACATGGATGCACCATCATTTTTTATGTTAGCATGGAGTTATTTCCTCTTCTATGCAGATGAAAAAATGAATTCTTCACAGGCAGCATTTAAAGATACTGCTCGAGAAAACAGCCTTCCATAGGCATAGTCAGGAAAGAGCAAAGATGCTAGATCAGGCAAATATGTAAATGAATGATGCAAGGGATGGAACACCTCCCCTTTTAAGGACAGATTGAGAGAGCTGGAGCTGTTCTGCCCGGAGAAGAGAATGCTCTGGGGAGACCTGAGAGTGGCCTTTCAGTATCTGAAGGGGAGTTATAAGAAGTAAGGGGACTGCCTCTTTATTAGAGTCTGTTGTGACAGGACAAGGGGAAGTGGTTTCAAACTGAAAGAGGGCAGTGTTAGGTTGGACATAAGTAATAAGTTTTTTTACAGTAAGGGTGAAGACCAGGTTGGATGGGGCCTTGGGCAGCCTGATCTCATATTAGATATTGAGGTTGGCAGCCCTGCCTGTGGCAGGGGGTTGGAGTTTGATGATCCTTGTGGTTCCTCCCAACCCAAGCCATTCTATGATTCTATAATTCTGTGATTTTTAGGGTGGTGAGGCACTGGCACAGGTTGCCCAGAGAGGTGGATGCCACGTCCCTGGAGACATTCAAGGTCAGGCTGGATGGGGCTCTGAGCACCCTGATGTAGCTCTAGGTGTCCTTGTTCACTGCAGGGGAGCTGGATCAGATGGCATTTAAGGGTCCCTTCCAACTCAAACAATTCTATGATTCTATGAAGCCCTTAAAGCTCTGATTCCACAGCCCTTTTACGGGACCTTGTGTCACAGTCCTGTGTGATTGACTGTGGGAGGTATGGCTCGACCAGATGGAGTCAAAATCAGAAAGAACTTTATTTTTGATTGCACTTCAGTGAATGCTGAAACTATTTGGAATGCCACAAATCCCTTCAGTGTGAAAATTCTTTAGTGTAGAACCCAGAGCTTTCTGTAACTGCAAACATTTCTTCACCCACAGTACTTTCTGAACCGTTCTGATTGAAGACAACAAATGACTCACCATAACATAAAGATATAAATGAATGTCTCAAGGACTAGCATGAGGAAGTAGTAAATAAGAAGATTTAAGAAAATAGACATCGGTAGGTTTAAAATTTTTTTTTATTGTGCTGCCAAGAGCCAAATTACAAGAAACCGCCTTACAGTTAAAAAAGTAAACAAGCAATCTGCTGAACCGCAGTGCACTCCGAGTGCCACATATGCATCTATTTTTCAGAAAATTATATCTGCATTTCTCTTACAAGAGCACAACAGGAACCAAAGTAAAAGAGTGTAATGGATACAGCACATAGGATAAATCATATCTTTAAAATAATAATAATAAAATAATAATAATAAAAAACATTTTACACCATGTCCTATATCCTGCTAATATTTTCAGAATATGGCCTTGATTGTAAAACAAAAGCAAGCATTTACAATTTCTGGATAAAGACTGCTTACTCTTATGCAAGGAATGGATGTCTTGTCTTGACAAAATCTTTGTAGTAAGTGGACAGAAACGTCTCTGTTTCAACATCAGATTAAGTACAAAACACTGGGGAGACCACATTTTTTCTTATTGGTGGTTGGAAATGGAAGTTACATAAGCAGAAAAAATGTTGACCCTTGATGATACACCTATTTTTTGCTTTGATGCAAACAGCTAGAACACCTTTTTGATATTCTAAAACAAACAAAAAAATTGTTAATCTTCAGATTAATAAATTAGGTCATTATAATAATAAATTAGGTTTTTTTTTTCTTTTCAGTTTTTAAAGTTCAGCAACCTCTGACCAAGTATTTACAACAATACTTGAGAGTTCCTTTACAAAAAATACATTTTCTTTTCACATTAAGCATACTGGGTATCTGTGTCTCTTATGACAAGCATTTGTAAAAGAAAAAAGGCAATGCACAAATGGGTAATTAGTATAAAAGTGCCAAGACCTGTTTGGAAAGTTAACATTGTATTATACAGCCAGAGTTATAAATGAGGCAAGCTACAACAAACTTCCAGCTTAATGTGGACAATATTCCAGTAGTTGTTTCAAACAATTGTTTGAAAAAAAACAAAACAAAACAAAAAAAGAAATAAAAGAAAGAAAGAAAAAAAAACCAATAGAAAATCCAGGAGCTGATGCTGTTATTCTATGGAGCTGATTAGTGCTGCATGTATATTGTCATCAGTGTCTCTAGCCAATGCATTCATTAAAAAGCCTTTTTAAGGCTAAGCAGGAAAAGAAAAATAAGAAACACCCTGAAATGTAGCAAGTAGCAAGAGCAACGCTTACTGCTATAATCGTGCACGTACTGTACACACGCAAACACAAGAGTGCACACACACACACACGCACACAAACACTTTCAAATCAAATCAAACTGTAGGTAGAATGAGATGCTCTTTTCTCGTCTTTTCTAAACTCACAAGTGATTAAGCACTGATATGGAATGCCTGTTTATCTGTTTTTGCTCTGGGTAAAATCTCTCTCAGATAAAAATACATTCAACAAGAAAAAAAAATAGAAAAAATATATACTGTATACATAGTATTTTATATATACAGTATATATACGTATAGTGTACATACACATGCATGTATATATACATACGTATACCTACATGCATTTGTATATACATATATATACACAAACATACAAATACTTTTTGTTGTTTTTAGCATAATTATATTTACATAAATATTCCTATAATGCTAAAGTTTAAAGAAGCATGATCTCCTTTTTTTCTGAGCTTCAAAAAAGGTGCTTGAGTAATATACAATTAAAATTAAGCAGCTTCCTAGCATGGAAGTAGTTTCTAAATCTGCATACCAGTAAATAAGAACATCAACAGGAAAAAAAAAAACAACAACAACCTTAAAACAGTCTCATTTTTACTCTCTTTTAAGCAAGAGCTTTGTCCAACAAAAAAATATTTTTCCTTCTCCTGTATGAACAACCAGAGATTGATATCAAATAACAAAATGAAACCACAACAGACAAACAAACAAACAAAAGCCCCTGGAACTGCGTGGTGTTCTTGACTTTTCCTTCCTTCCTTCAATACTGCTGTCAAAAGATCCAGTGCTCATTTCAGGAATTACTTAGGCCTCAGTCATTTGCTAACTCTGCCAAAGTCTGGCTAATCTAGCCAATCAGCTTTGAAGAAAACAAAAATAAAACAAAAAACAAAAAGCAGCACAAGGTGTAATTTTGTACATCCTTAATAAACCCACCCTTTATTTTCTGCTATAACCTTTTCCTTGCTATTTCATTAACTACTGCAGCTTCTCAACATATAGAAAAATATTTGCAGCTACACCACATCTGTGATGTGACAAATTCTGTTCTATGAGTATATTATTGTAGCAACAGCTGGAAAGAAAACGTCAGACCTTTTTATTTTTTTTTTTTTTTCACTTGGGGTTAGGATTTGCTGCAACAGATGCAATTTCAGAACAACAAGAAAAGCCACTGTCCTGCTGCTTGGTGGTATCTATTCATTTTCTTCTCCAGCCAAGCATGACCAGCTTTTCTCCTCTGAAACTTCCTTTAACCTCACTGCCTACCCCTAGCCCCTGATTCCCCCTCCCAAAAAACCTCTATAGCTATGTTACAAGCAAATACACCTTAACAAGTTTTAAAACTTTGGTTCTAAGAAAACACTTGGTCAGTTATCTCAAGGAAAAGTGGGAATGCTTTTTCTGGCACATTGCAGGAGTCAGAGCTCATCCCAGTAAGGTCTTAGAGCTGTACATGTAGTCACAAATCCAATACAATCCACTAAGCAAGTGCACGATTCTAGCTTTATTTTAATAGCAGACTTAGTCTCTTTCTCTCTCTCTCTCTCATTTTTAAATCCTTGGTAAGGGTGCAATTCTTCAAACTGTTTGATAGAAATTATCTGCCTGTAGGTTGTTCTGTTTCTGCATGCTGTAGAATCCGCTGTATCTTGAATCCGGGTCTGCAATTCTTAGCATCCTCTGAGAACTGTCCACCTGGACCATGGTACCTTTCTTGCAGTCCACATATACCAGTTGATTGTTTAGGCAAGATGGCTGTTAAGACAGAAAGAGAACACTGAATCAGTTAATTTTTTTCTGTATTCAACCCACTGCTAGCAGGTGTTTGTGGTACAAACCCATAAACACAAAGGGAAATCAAATTGGCAATGAAACAGTTTGGACTCATGCTAAGCTTGGTAAAGGTTTATGCCAAGCACAATGACAAACCAACAGCCTCTTGCAATCACTATTTTTCATCTTCTCAGTGAAGTTCGGGTATTCTTTTTTCCCAGTTAAACTGTTACCTACTAGTCTTCCACTATGCAAGGGCTTAAACTTGTTGCCTCAGAGGTGCAGGAGGTTGTTTCCAAGACTTTAATAGCCTCTTTATAGCTGATCATTTTTGAGAACATTTTGTTCTTGGTGACAGTATCACTAGGATAATGGGAGAGATTTCTTTTATTTTTATGTTTATTCAAGCAATTGAAGTTGATTATCTCCTCCGTTAAATGTGAGATTCTGTTACCTTAAGGAGCAATTCTATGGAAACCAGTTGACTCACAGGTAAGAGAAAAGAGTTTACAACAAAACAAGGAACAAAAACACAAAAATAAGGCCACATTTTACAATATTAAAGTGTTAATTAATGTGAAAAGAAGCGGGAACCAGCAGTAGTCAAGATCTCCCATTTATTTCCTAGACTAAATTTGAGAATGCATAGCAGAAGTGCAAAATCTCCTAGAGAACTGTGGAAAAACCTGTCACTCCTGACAGAGAAACAAGCAGTATATGTTTTCTTCAACAATGTACCCATCTTCTACTGGATCTGATGTATCATTGTCCTTTAAGTACCCCTTCTTTTAAAGCTCTTCAATAAAATGATCTTGTCCTGTATACTATTATAGCTTAGTACCGATGTATCGATTTTTAGATTAACATCAAATGTATACGTATTTTTTCTGCTTTCTCAGCATATTTAAATAACTACAAACTGCAAAACCTTTCTCCTGCAGCCATCATAGAGAAAGCAGAAAGAAAATCTGATGACATGCAGCTTAAAGGGTATTATAGAAAAGTAGTTCCATTTACGCCTTGGAAAAGTAGTTCCAATTCCCAAACTCCTAAAAACAACTAGAATTGTGGGAATATTTTTTCTCAAAACACTAAATTATTTTATTTCATTAGCATCAGGAAGATAAAAGAGATGAAAAGCTATATAGTAATGGTTTATAATATCAGTAACAACTCTGGAAAAAATGAAAGATATCCTCTAAAATAGTACACTTGAGTATTGAAAGTGCCATTTCATGTGACTGTGTTATCACTGGATAGGCTGAACAACAGTGTTGATATTTCTAGTGTAAATAAAATCTGTAATAAAAGTCTTTATTGGCTTCAAATTCATTAAACTTTTTGAAACCAATCAGTGATTTTATGTTAAAATTGTCCAATATAATGCAGTTATTAGAAAATGTGATGAACATTACTAGTATGTACAGTATCTGATGTTGGACAATACTTTGAAAGTGGATGGAAGTTTAGAAAACAAAACCTTTCTCCCAAGTGATGACTGCAGATGAGAACTGCCTACAATTATGTGCACACATATGAAGTTGGGAACATTTTTGGATTTTTTTTTGCTGAACTTGATTTCTATCCAGTCCCCACTCATCACTGCATCAAGCAGGACACTGCTGGCACTCATTCAATAATGAAAATAATTATTCAGGAGATTAAATAAACACCACCAGCCTCAAAGGTATAAAAAGGATTCAGGCTTAAATGAAAAAAAAAAAACTGAGTTCATATGATGTAAATTCAATTGCATCTCACAGAATATTCTAGTCAATTTCAGTTTTCAGAAAGGTGAGAAGCTGGAAATAGGCATGAATATGGCACCTTTGTTGGAGCTTTGTAGCAGGACACTGGAATCCACTGCTTTTTCTGATTGATGAGCAGAAAGACGATGATTACTAACAGCGCTATCGTGATTGGAATTGTCACCAAGGCAACAGAGCTAACTGATGCATCTTCACTGGGGTGCGGCCCACTTCCACTTCTGTATTCTCCCTGGAGATGATTCATGTCTGCAAGACAAATGTGGGCATTTGACATTAGTAATGATAAATGGGCCCCTATCCATAAATAACATAAAAGCCTCAGTCACAAACTTTGTCATTTTCATGAATTTGGACTTCTTCTCCTGAAATGTCCCTTTTTTAATATAAATTAGAATAACTGAAAGCTAGTAGTTTGTATAGTGACTATATTAGTCAGGAAAAGGCCATAAAAAAGAGGAAATTGGACGGAATCTAAAGGAGCAATAATAAGCAACTGTGACAGCTCAGTTGTATTCACTTCGTCTTATCTGATTACAACCAAATTCCCACTCAGAAAAATAATGCTGTATTTCTGTGCAGCAGAAAACCTGGTAGTCTTACAAGTTTTTTTTTTTTTTTTTTTTTTTTTTTTAATAATTTTTAATTTTTTTAGGCTGATAGAGCAGTTCAGTCCTGTCTGTTCTTGCCTGTTGAGAAATTATTACAATACTTGCATCACTCAGCCTGTGAAAACAGCTCACTGGCAGTCTAACAGACTCAGTTTTTCATGTAATTTCAAAGCACAATCATTTTCAATGGCAGTATTCCTACACAGTTTTCAGTGCACATTTAGAGTTTCTCAGCCAGGATAGACACAAGCCAACTCCCAACACCTCTGAAATGTAAAAATGTTGAAATTATAAACAGTGTAACTCTATACTTTTGTAAAATAGTTATATTTTGGATATCCTTTCTCCTAGCCACCAAGTAGTAGCATGCAATATGCATGTATGTTATCATACTTGGATGCAGAAAAAAAAATATACAAATTTTAATAGTCCTTCAATTAGAAAAAGTTAGCAAAGAGTGTGACATACAGTATTTTCCACTACCCTGCTGGGCAGTGTAGTTTTAAAACTAAAGATGGATTTACACCATTAAACAATTTTAACAGTCTTGTGCCATTACACCTGAAGTGTTCTGTTCCACAGCCATTTTTCTATGATATATTCAGTGTGGGACTCAAGAACATGGGGTGAGATTCTTAAGTGGCGTGCAGAATAGAATAAGGGGCAATGGACAAAGACACAGGAAGTTCCATTCAAACATGAGGAAGAACTTCACTGTTAGGGTGATGGAGCGCTGGAACAGGCTGCCCAGAGAGGTTGTGGAGTCTTCTTTTCTGGAGATAGTTAAGACTCATCTGGATACTTTCCTGTGCAACCTACTGTAGGGGATCTGCTTTAGTAGGGGGGTGGACCTGACAATCTCCCTTCCAACCTCTGCAATTCTATGAAGGCATCGTACGTTCTTCTGTTTTTATCTTTCAGTACAAGAATGTCAAATGGACCAAATCAAAGTTCATTGATGCCTATGGCATAATAGCATTCTGCTTTCTAGCTTGTGTATGAAAAAGACACTGCAGAAGCACTCCTCATTCACCAGTTTATCATATTTATAACTGTACAGAACTCTGTCATACCAACAAAGATGCGTCTTCCAAGCTGAAGATGTAATGATAACAAGATCAAATTGCTCAAGTATATTTTAACAGACTGAGTCCCCTTTGCTCAAAACAGTATAATAACAGAATAATATTCTCAGATAACCACCATTTGCAAAGCATCACACAGATGCTACCAGAATTGAAAAACAAACAAGGACATTAAAACATGGGGAACAGTCACAGATCTAAGTTAGCCCCATTTATATCAGATCTTACCTCTGTGGATGTGGATGATGTCATTTTCACTTGGTGTTGACCAGTTTGGCACTTCTAGTTCAACATCTCCTCGATGATTTGTCTTCTCAATAGGTATGTTAGTAGGTTCAGGTACATACATCTCTGAAAAATGAGATGAATGTCTTTCAAAATTACAAGTCTCTTAATTTTCTGGTGCTGCTCTTAATTCAGTAGATACATCTGGCTATCTGCAATGCTTTCTACTACAAATCTTTATTATTTATTTTAGAATTTTCTCTATTACAGCTATGGGATATGGTTTTAATTTGACATAAAATCTTCAATTTGTGTTTCCACTGTGTACAAGATTCATGCATGTTGTCATAATCATTATACTAATGTAAAAGGAATGATGTAGTCCTGTAAACAACTTTTTGCTTTTTAAAAAACCATTTCAGAATAGATGGCTAAGGCTTGGTTTGTGATGCTAAATATAAAAAATGCCAAGACAGGGCTACATCCTTCTGGCTGGTACATAGCTGACAATTTTTTTTTCCTCTCCTGTAGTTCCCAAAGTAGGAGAATTGAAAGAGATGCTACTGCTGAATTGTCCTGTCAGAAGTAGTTATTAGCTGACTCAGTAAGAAGGAAAACACCTGCAAAAATATGTCAGGAGTAGCATTAAAAAGCAGTTGCAGTTCTTATGTCCCTTGTGTCCACAGCTAAGACAATTTCATATTACATACATATCAAATTAAAATACATTAGTAATGAAGTATTTGAAAAGTAGTGACCTAGAAGGGACAGAAATATTAATTACTGGGCAAATACGCAGAAGTGCAGAACTATTCATTTTTCTACTTCATTAGTTTATTTTCATTACTTTGTATACCAACAGACAGCAGAACCAAAAAAAAACAAACAAAAAAACCCAGAACAACAATTTTTGAATCTGCAGTTCTTAGAGTAAGTAAAATTCAAACTATATGTTTGCACAATGTGCCTATCTGTTATTCATTTTCCTGAAGGCTAAATGTCTCCATGACATCATTCAGTATGGACTGACATTCAAAAAACAATAAAAAAAAACCTGACTGTCAGTCCTGGAAAAGAGCATTGCAATAAGCTAAGTTGTTACATCACATTACCTGGGCACATGGGACAGCAGCTTCCCTCCACATTGATGGGTTCAGCACAAGGCAGGGGTGGGCAGCTAACAGTGGAGCAGAGAGTCTGACCCTGCAGGCAGTAACAGTGCGTGCAGCTGTCGATGTCCCAGCGCTCCTCATCTGCGTATGTTTTTCCACTGAAGTGGCAGACCACTTTCTTTGGTACTGTATCTTCTGTTGAACAAAAACAGAGCAGTGTTGGGATGGCCTGTTGCACACAGATCTGATCTTTTCCCAAAATATAACAGTGAAAGAATAACTAAGAAAAAATCCCAGCTATAATTAAAAGACCCTCTCCACATCTCTCATAGATATTTCAGAAATACAATTTCTGCTTCTTTATGAAGTACATCACCAGCCCAAACTAATGCTTCTCCTCATGCAAGAGGCTAGAAGATGAATGACTGGGTCATGAAGCAGTGATATCAAAAGTACTGTGAAAATGATAAAACAAGAGAAACTTTTTTTCTTTTTTTTTGACTGTTTGAGACTCCTAACTCATCCTCCTCCTCTTTTCCTAGTAAATCCTATTTAAATCCTATTTAAAAAGAAAGCCAATCTACAGTTCTAATTACCAAGATTCAAGACAGACAAACTCAGTCTGGAATACTTCAAGACAAGACTAGGAAGGATGCCAAGAAGAAGGAAGCAACTCTTAAGTGATGTAACTAGAACAGTTTTGACTATTTATTATGACAAAACAGATAATAAGGGGATATGCTTATTCTTTGTAACCACATCAGTGGGATCTCCCACGAAAAGGGTAGCAAGTATGTTTTTTCGTGGTATTATATAAGTTGGAAATTGGCACAATTGTAACCCTCAAAAAAGTGAGGTTAGGTTCCACAACACTTTTTCCAAAGATTGAAAGCTACAAAACCAAAATTTTTTTCACACAGATTTTGACACATTATGCAATAGAGACCTAAATGTGATAAATAAAGTAGGTCTTGGGAAAGTACTCAAAACCAGCATTCATTTTCTTTTTAAACATTTAATACATCTTTATTTTAATGCTGATACCTACGCAAGTCTTTCAGACTGCCTGTATTATACCTTCGATTTCACTGAGAAGATGATCATGAATTGCTTAACTTAAAATGTTTATTTGCTGCTATAGCATTTTACAGATTATCAAACAAACAAAAAACAGTACACAGCAGAACCTCCAAAACCCAGACAGAACCTCATTTTCATCATAGCTTCTCAGTACCTTTTTCTGCTAGAGGCAGAAGTTATTATGAAGAAGCACGGTGATGCTGGATTTGCAGATTAAGCAGATAAGACAGCAGAACTAAAGAAACCCACTAAGCTGTTAGAGAAATACTGGTTTAATATCCATACAGATTACATATATAAATATGTCAGCTAGAATTACCTCCCATATATAAATACAAATCCTTAAATATTTTGGCCATCATTATAGATTTTATTTAGAGACAACATAAATAGATCAATATTATCTACAATAAAAAGGTTTGCAGTCAGCAGACCAGTGTCATGTATCTGGACACAGTAAATTCAAATGCAAAAGAAGACTACTGAGTACTACTGAGAAAATACTAATGAAAGCATCTGAAAAGCTTAAAAGTTCCAGAGGTCCTTGAATTGGGCATCCATGTGTCCATGGATGTAATTTCAAGTAGAAGATTTCTATATGAATATGGGATGTAGGAAAGTAAGAGTGGGAGGAAAAAGTGGTCAAAAGCTGCAAAAACCATACAATTTCCATTTAAAAATGATTATTTTTGTGTTAAAAGTGTTCATGAAGAGGCAATGAAGACCTGTTTAGGTTAGGATGGCAAGGGACAGAGCGAGAAGCACAGCTGGAGTAGTTCTCTATTTCTTACTCTTAATCCAGAACTAAAGCTGAGCACTCCCTGTTCACCCTGGGCTGACCTACTCCCATAAATGTTACCTTGCCCCACTCAGGACAGCTTCTTCAAGTCTGCAGCCCTGTTGGCTGGATGGCTGGAGAAGTCCTTTAACTTGCTTAGGTTTCATGAGTTTATGTAGAACACAACAAAATTTAATACACATAGTGTTTTTTTTTTTTTTTAGAAAAGTGAACAAAGATAAACTCAGAGTACAGTCTTGCACCTTTGAATCTTTAAAGGAAGATCCTGTGCATATATCCTGCTTGATGTCCATATCTATAAGACTATAAACCCAGCATAAAGATGAAGGCTACCACATCAACAAGCACTCAAGAAGAGTGGAAACAAAGGAGAAGTACAGTGAGAAACCCACATGGAAAAATGCAGTTCAAAAGACAGTGTGCAGCTCTACTTGTCTTTTCTCATATTTCCTCTAACTTCACCAGGAAATCAAACACATCTGGTAAACATACAAAGTCAACGCTGTTTTGTGCATAAGAGTAATCTTCTCACTCATCAAATGGACATCCCTTTATCCTCTCTAATGTAGATGGTTATTTTTCCTAATTAATATCTCTTTGCACAAGAAAGAAAAATATTGAACACAAGGTGAATTTGAGAATTCAGAAAACAACAAAGCATCCAAGGCCTGCAAGATTTTGGATTTAAATCTGTGCTGACTTGTTAGACATGAACAAGATCTGGATCCAGAAAGAAGTAGAATAAAAGATAGTGCTAAAATCCAGCATCATTTTTGAAATTTCAAACAATGAAGAAGTCTTGTTATAACTACTTGTTACTACTAAACACTTCATCAGCTATTACATGAAAATAGGAAGGAAGAACCTCTACCAAGATGTTCTTCACAGTTCTCAAGAAATAAGCAGAAAAGTGAAAAACACAAAGGTTTTATTCTCCATTCTTTGAAATTTCACATGGTTCTCTTTATCACCTGAAGTTGTAATCTTTTATCTGCGGTACTGCATATCTTGATACAACATATATGTTATCAGTCAGATCCTCCACTAAATCCTCAAGTCTGTATGAAAATTATATCGTCATATTCCTGCACTTGTACCTTGAAACTACAGATAATGATCCTCAAAGCTCCCTATGCAGATTTTAATCTTCAGTTCAGCAGAAGGCACAAATGGCTTTTCCCCAAAACAGGAAAACATATTTCAATTTGGAAATAAAACTTTCTCATTCCCAAGGAAGGGGTAGCAAGTTACGGACTATTTTTATTTGCTCACCAATGCAGTAAGGACAACACTGTCCCTTTCTCAAAACAGGTCTCTCACAGGATACCGGTGGGCAAGACTCAGAATAACATCTAATTACACCATCCATGCAGATGCAGCTGGTGCAGACATTAGGCTTCCAGGATTCAGCTGTCAGAAAAATATCTCCCTCATCATTTTTGCAGTAACTGGGCATGCTCACATTGCTTGACAAAGAAGGCTGAAGAGGCTCGTCTGTAAATATAAAAAATTAAGTTAGTTAACTTACAGTAGCTAACTTCTTTGATATTTCTTCTACATAGGGCTCATTCTTGTCATGGTTGCCAGTTCAGTACTTGCAGTTCATAAATCTCATTATATGCTCTAGAAAAAAGTTGATGTAAACCTTTACTGAGTTTACTCAAGAAAAACTAAAAAACAAACAAACAAAAAGATAGTGAAATCATGAAATGATCATTGTCAGAAGCAGCCTCTCAGAAAGGGACTCTGAATGTTCTAAATGGAGTGGCGTATAGGAATTCATCTTAAATCAGATATATTGAATTTTAAGCCTAAAAGCTGAATCCTAGAATCAGTTCCAGGCCTTCTGTGATGAAAAGTCAAAAGCTATTATGCTGCTATCATCTTCGCCAGACTTATAGGAGATAATTATAAGCTGTGGAGAAGCAGATGGAGCTTGATCAGGCTTCATCTTGATGCTGATGTGTCAGCTTTGATTCTCAGGCACTCACAGGGGAGATATTTCTGCAATGAAGCTGTATCTTAACAGACATTATAGATCCCAAACTATGAGTGCAGGTACAGAGAGCACATAAAAAAGAAGATAAAAAGATTCATAAGGGGACTCAGATCAGGTTCTCAATCTAACTATGCAAAATAGGAGACTAAGCTTCTCACACAGCCAGTGAAGAAGGATGAACTTCTCCAAACATTTATTTATGTGTATTTTGAAGATAAACAAAAAAAAATGTTCATGGTTAATAATTGGAAAAATGGTTGTTGGGAGAACAGGCTAACATTTTAGCTTAAAAAAACCTCGCCAGGAAAAATAACAACTCCCAAACCAACAAACACTCTGTGTAACAAATGGCAAAACCTAGTTTGTTTAAGTAAAGCAAATCCTGTTACCTTCTTGACACTGTGAGGCAGTCTACTGCTGGGCAGTAACGGTCTGATATTAGCAAGCTGCCTTCAAGTCACTCTCAAATCATATCAAGTGAGGATAAAAACAGCAAATTTTCTTTTGTGACCAAGTCCCAAATATCCAACCCTTACAGTATTAACTTTCCCTCAGAGAAGGTGTCCAAACTTCCACCAGCAGATGAGATAACTATTGCACACAGTCAAATTTTGCAATTGAAATGGGAGGACTGCAGGCTTAAACTCCAAAATGCTAAAGGAAAAAGGGAAAACAACAACCAACTGTGCACACACTGAAACAACTAGTATTCATAACATAAATTCTAAAATCAAGAAAAGACTGATAAAAACTAGCTGTCAATATATACCTGGGCACTGAGGACAGCAGGAGTCCTGTGTGCGAGTGGGGTTTTGACAAAGAAGAGGAGGACAGACTTCAGTCTCACACAGGACTCGTCCACTGTGGCATGTACACTGTGTGCAAGAATCAATGTTCCATGTTTCTCCTTCTACGAAGTATTCCCCACCAGGAGCATGACAGATTGATGGACTAGTGAGCTCTGGCTTCTGCACAATTATTTCATCTGGAAAAAACAGAATTAGAAGATAAGAAAAATCAACTGTGATTCCAATGATTAAAACATATACTCAACCTTTTATTTCTTGCTGCTATTATAAAAAAAAATTAGGATTAACAAAACCAGCTATAAATCCACTCTTAAAGAAACTCTTTTTTAACTTTGTGTCACTCACTTGTATCTCACGGAAAATGTAAAAAAGGTGAAAATGGAACACTTTGGGAACCAATTTGAATAAATGCTGGTGTGAGAATCCTTCTTGTTTTTTGGCTCAAAGCTTGCTTCCTGAGGTTCTTCTTGTGATAGGACTCTGAATGATTTGTTGAGGAGGCAAGTGATGGATGCTACCCGTGTGACAATCGATATCGCTTTGGGAACATTTGAAAGCCCCTTCTTCCAGAGCTGCTTGCTCTGTAGAAGAGCGGAAGAGAGTGCTCAGGAGTGTTCACAGGTGGAAGATCTGGCCTGTGACTAAAGTGCTCCAGCTTGGTATGGGAGGCTGGGGAATGATGCCATTGTATCCTGTGAAGGCAAGATACAAGTTGGTGCCTCCCTGCTTCCTCTTATCTGCTGGCAAGGCCAGGAAGATAAGAACAAAGGAATTTCCTGCTGAGGTCCCAGAGCCAGAAGCTGCCACTCCAAGGAGAGCTGACTCAACCACCTTGGGTTTGAGCTGTCACTCAAAGGAGAGCTGACTCGACCACTTTGAAAGCATTGAAAAGGGGCCATCATCGCCATGGTTGTCGTTGTCAATAGAACAACTCTGCCCGATGACCCACCACTACTGAAGATCAAAGACGGAACTACGAACTTCGCTGGATCCATGGTGGTGACTATGTCCCTCTTGCTTCCTATAAAGACTCCTTGCTTCTTCTTTTCTATCTTTTCTATTATCCTCCTTCCCTTCCCCATTACCCTAATTCATAATAGTGTCTGTCCTCCCCTTCCCCATTTCCCTGATTAAGATTTGTAATAAACTGGTCAGACTAACATTTGAAACGTTTCTTAATCTCACGCCAGGTATATAGATAATAAAAGAACCTCCTCTCCCTCCTATAAATTGGAGTGAGACAGCTGGTTAATATACATCAGAGATAACCAAGTATTCTTGGAATTTTGGAAAGAAAGCAAACCAATCTACAACATAGAAATTCCAAGAGACAACTGTCATTTTCTGAAAATGTATTCAAATTGCACAATTTTTTAATTGCTAAATATTAACATAAATGCAATTCCTGAAAGGATGGATAAGCACGTTTGTAGTCTGGGATTTGAGAAGATTCAACTGCCTATGATAAAATTCTGATGTGACTTGTGCCTCTAACATTCAATGCCAGACTAAAAGCAAAATCTGATAATCTCCATCTGTAGCTCCTAAAAAATTAAAAGCACTTAACAATGGAAATATGTCACTGAAAGATTGTTTCATAAAGAAAACTTAAAAGTTAAAAAAATAATCTGCATTAATGACTGAAGTAAAAACAGTACCCAAGATGATTCCAGTGAGTACACTTTAATTTTCAGTGACTATCTCACCAAATTAATCTTAGCTCTTTTTCACACAATTAGTTACATTAATCCTACAGCCCTAGCCAAAGACTCATCCAGCCTGGATTAGAAATCCAGGCAGTTAGAGAATGGATCTGATCTCCTTCAAGTCTTCCAACCATGAGGACATTCAAATAATGGGGGAGTACCCTTCACCAATGGGTGTTTTAAAAATAAAAAAGAGACCTGCCTTGCATTTAGACAGTGTTTAAGCAATTACTATCAGTGAAATTCTGCCATGGACTACACTTGCACAGCCTGGTTAAAAAAGTTCCCACTGTACATAATGGATGAATTTCGAAACAACAACTTTGTGATATTTTCTAATAAATTTACATAGATGACAGGTTGGCATGCTGGTTGCTGTGGACCTGGCATGAGCCAGCAAGCTTGCTCCATGTTCTGCATATAGGAATCAAGCTCCCCACGTAGCATGCTTTATTCAGTTCCATGAGCCATGAGTTTAACCTGTTGCAATGTGAAGCTGCAGGGTTGTCAGTGCATATTGCTCTTTGGCCTCAATTCAACCCAACTGATGTTGGACATTAAGAACAAGCTCCCCCAGAATTCCTGTGCTGTGAAGAGAAGGGATTAAAAAGTGACCCAGGTAATGATCAGTATCCGTAAACCATTTCCTGTAGTTCCCTCTCTCCTGTTTTTGTCATTTGGATAGCCCAAGGCTAACACAGTGCATGTGCTTCTCACCACATTCTTAATAACGCTGATTTGTCTGATGAATTAAGTCTGTGCCCTTTGCTCTGTGGCATCCTCATAGAAGATGCCCAGTTCCATCACTTGCTTTCTCTTCTGCAGAATGACAGGTAGAGCTCAAGAAAATAGACTCAGGCTGATCTTTTCCTGTTCAGAAAGTACTTTAATATTTTTTCCTTAAGGGAATTAACTAATCTATCAGTGATTAGCTTATGTTACCTTTTTCCCATTGCATACATTTCTGAACAGCAAATAGTAGCATTTTACCACACTTGAAGTGACAGCTAGTCTGCTGCCCTGTCACTGTCTGACTTATTTCAGCTGGAACAATCTATTACATTTTATGCAAAAAACATCCAGTCAGGCAAGCTTTGCATTAAGTTCTTTGCAAAGTCACAGCCTATATACTGATCATAATCATAAATGCCTAACCAGAGTACTGCTGTATATACGGCACTGCTTACAGCTCCCTTACCAGTATTGGTATTGATATATTATTGCAATTGAGTTGCTGCAAATGTGCAATTACTAGATTCCTGATGGAGTAACTAGCAAGGCAAGCACGTAGTCTTTCTGAGAAGCATGGTTCTGCAAAACGCTAGAAGTTAATGGCTTTCTAAATCTTGCAGGAAACCTGGAGCTTTCCTTAAGAACTGGTACAATCCACTTGAATCTCATAATATATAGAAACATGGTTTTGATGAGTGTTTTAGCAAAGTATTTCTTGTTCTGTTGAAAACCAAATGTGAAATTGAGCATAAACAACTTTTTCAGTCTGAAAAGAGATTTCTAAGAGCTGCCACTTCCCTAAAGGAAGTAGGCTAAAAGTGTGATTTAAAACCACATCAGGACTGCTAATTATTTATGTTAGATACGTTTGACTGTCATGCTCACAACCTCACAAACGCAACTGCATTCCTATCTGTAGAAAGCCATGATATTCATTTAATAGCATCAGAGTGGAATCAATACACTGCAAACTAAAATCAGAAGTGCATAGCAAACAAACAAAAAGCCTTGGAGAAAGAGAACCCCTCAGAAGGAAATTTGGCTATATTACTCACAGGTAACAAACTGAAAGAAACTAATCTCTGGTTGCCCTAGCACTGTATGCGTTTGCACCAAGTATGGCTTTGCTTGCACAGAAGCTAGATGACAAGTACCCTGAAAAGACCAAAGAATGTTAGGCAGAGAAATCTAGGTAGATACCGTATCTCTAGGACCATACCTGGACTCTACTGGGATAACACTGCACTCTGGTGTGGCAAAAATCTTACATACAAACTGATAAAACCAGCCAGATGCTTAATAATGGGAGAGAAGGAAGCAAGTAAAGGATGGATCCTCAAGTGTGCATAAATAGTGGGAGTAACTTTCTTCATGTTTCCAAGTAAGCTAACAATTTCATTAATGGTTATCATTAATAAGATGCTAAAGGGAAATTGCTCAGCCTCAGTAAGCACTGCTAAATTACTTAGTATTAGGAATAGCTCTGTAAAACAACTGTGCCAAAAGCAACACCATGGCACAGGAACCACAGACACTGTGTCCAGTCTCAATAGTGGGAGCAAGTGGTATATGCAGAGAGAGGGTGAAAGGCAGATCAACCTTTTGCAATCCCATATCCTTTTGAGGACTATGTTTTTCTAATTACAGCTGGGTGCAAAATGGATTGGAGATATTCGCTGAAGCAGTCTGAAGAGATCTACTGTCTAGGGCTGCTCAGCCTGGAGGAGAAGGCTCCAGGGGAGACCTGAGAGATGCCTTTCAGTACCTGAAGGGGGGTACAAGAGAGAAAGAGACAGACTGTTTATAGCAGGACAAGGGGAAATGGTTTCAAACTAAAAAGGAGGTGATTTAGATTGCATATGAGGAAGACATTTTTTTACAGTAGGGGTGGTGAGGCACTGACACAGGTTGCCCAGAGAGGTGGTGGATGCCCCACACATGCAGACTTTCAAGGTCAGGCTGGACAGGGCTCTGAACACCTGATTTAGCTGTAGGTGTCCCTGTTCATTGCGCGGGAGTTGGGTTAGATGGCCTATAAGGGTCCCTTCCAATTAAAAAGATAATATGATTCCATGATCTTATGACGTCCTAGAAAGGATACACTCTTCAGTCGCTTTCAGAAAGAGAATTTGGCTACATATTTTGTTCCTAAGATTTTCTGTTCTTTTCAAGGGATTTGAAACCATTCATAATTGCTTGAATCATGCAAGTGATTTCTTACTATTTCATTATTCTTATTATCACCATGCGCCTTGTTCCTACTTGTAACATGACTTATGATCAAGTCATAGACAATATAACGCTATTACAAATTAAACTATTCAGCATATAAATTACTGCAGGAATCAATCTGAAGGTGGAGGGAATTACTCATCATCTGTCCACATTCTAAAATTGTAAAGTTCTTTCATAAATGTTTTCCATTTTATCACTTCTTATTACAATTATATTGGAATGCAGCATTTATTGTACTGGTCTTCTCCCTGAGAGAATTAGAATTATTTTCTACCACTGGTGGTAGTGGAACATTCCTTCAGAACAGAATCATCATGTTCAATTGCCAAAGACATCTCTTTAAAAGCCTACTCCTCTGAGGAGCTGACAGAGAGGTGAATTTTAATAAAATTACACTTTAAAATAGAAAAGATAATGCTTATAACATCTTATTATATTTGCTATTATTGCTAACATAAACAGGAAACTAAACTGTTTAAGGATTTCAGTGTATCAAATATTAACATATTAGGACCTACAACATGCACATGTTTCATATACGCAAGTAACCACTTTTCAGATGTTAGATCTCAATGAAAGCCACTCACAATGTTCTAATTGGACATAGAAAGCTTCATTTATACTTACTACAGAATGAGTTTTCATGCATTAGGAAAGACCACACATATGTGAAAACAAGCTCAACCACAAAGAACATGCAAGACAGCATGTTACCTGGACACGATGGGCAACACTGCCCTGGATGTATGGTGGGGTTGCCACAATTAGGAACAGGACAGGTGATCAAGGCACACATTTCCCGTCCGTTGTGACAGTAACATTCCCTGCATCCATCGTGCCAACTCTCTTCGTTTTCATGTCGGCGCCCATCCACTGACAGGCAAGAGCCTGTTTTAAGTGGAGGCATAAGAGAAGCAGTTGCCTCTGCAAGAAGTCAAAAGAAAATGTAATTTTCTAATAAGCATGTGTTGCTTAGAAAAACATAAATACTGTATGCCTGGCTTGCATTTATTTTTAAAGTATGTAAGAGATCAAGTTATTAATAAATGTATCATTTATATTTAGAAATAAAGTAAACTTGAGACATACGAAGTAATTATTGGTATACTGGAGGCCATAGTAAGACATAGTAGAATTTATTTCCTTGAAAAATACGATCAATTATTTCTGTTGTGCTTAACACTGTCTTTAATCATGCAGTAATGCAGTACTGGCTAAACAATGTAAGGAAATGATAGAAAACATAAGGCATATTTAAAATTAAACAGAATAGTTTTAGATATTATCTGTAACATGAGTACCAAATATCTGGTAGAATATAAAGGTATTTACAAGAGTTAAGGATGGCTCCATATGTACCATTAATTAAAAAAATTCCAAGCACGTTCTAATAGGGCCATACCAGATACTGGAAATATTTCATAAGCCACTACCTACAATAAATTACTTGTGTTAGTTATTATAAATGATGTTTGGAAGATGGCTGCTCTGACATTTTTATCCCTCATTCCTGGGTTTTATTGAGATGAAAATACAATTGTTTGGACTGCTGTGTTACTTGCTCTCAGCCAGAACAGGGAGGCTTTTGGCCTAGGGAGGATAAAGACTCATTTGGATCTTAAGGGGTATTTAAGTGCAGAAGGACTCGGCCTCAATAAATTCTCTGTTAATCAGTAGTGAATTTAGATCCTAACAATCCCTCACCAACATGATGGATCATCATCATGATGGAGGATTTTGGGTCAGTTTGCCAGTGAACTGACTTGCTTTCAGTGATACATCATACACTTACATATGTAAAGCTGCTGTATTAATATGCTTGTCAATTATTCATTTAAAAAAATAGTGCAGAATGAGAAGAATTGTTAAAATGTGTTTCTAGTTAATTAAAAAAAATAATCACAAACCCATCACAAAACTAACAGCACTCCAGCTGTGGTGGATCTACCAGTGGTGGCCTAGGAATGACAAGCAGATGCTATGAAGTGGGTTTGCTGCACATCATTTGAATAAGAACTCAGTACACAGATATTGCACTACCATGCTGTTTTGTGACATGTAGAAAATATCCAGAGGTATGGCTGAAAATAAACTGAGAATTATATAGCTTACAAGGAAAATACAAGTCAGGAATGTTACACCACTGCAGAAAAGGCAAGTTCAGCCTAAGGTACTGTATGGGAGCATCGAACATTCAAATGCAGCTCTACAATCTGTACCAGTGGGCATTTTTTTTGCTGCTGCAAAAGTGCAGTATCCAGTTTCAGAACTGTGAATAGGGATCACAAGACCTGGGTTTTGTTCACTTTGAAAATAATACATTTAGGAGTCTCTAATTGCAAACCCTTAAATATTGCCAGAGTTCTAAAGGGAAAGGTGAGAAATTGTTCCCTGAGTCTGTTGAACTTAAGAAAATAAGTAGATGGTTAAATTCCTAGAAAGGATGATGAAAATACAAGAAAACTCATCTTGAAGTGTCTCGTATTGGTAACCACATGAAAACATAAGTTAGAGAGTAGAATTTTTTTGTATTTTTTTTTTTTTTTTTTTTTTTTTTTTTGAGATTGGAGGTTCTTAAGAAGTGAAATCATAGACAAAAATCTGTTGAGGATTATCCAGATACACTTGGCATTATGTGAGGGTAGAGAAATGGACTCGTCTTTTTTTGGAGGACTATCTGATCTCTGTATTTCTACGGTTCTACTTGTATTTACTCCAGCATAAGTTAATTCCAGAAGAGGCAGATTAGAAAGTGGAGCTAATTCACAAGCAAGTTACTTACCAACTCTCTCACCCTACTTAGGAATTTTGGATCAAAGTTTTAACGACTGCTGGCTTCCCTAGAACATACTGATGGTTGCCCTAGCTATTCGTGGATGAGTTGCTAATGATTACATAATTTAAGGGATAGTTCATGATGATCCAGTATTTAATCTCACAATATTTTATTTTTACTAATAAAACAGAATACATTCCAGGGGGCAGTGTGAGAAATCTTTTTTTTTTTTTTTTTAGACACGGGAGTGTGAGATCAATATTTGGAAACACCAGCAGTGAAAAACATCCAAGGTAATAATGAAACTGAAGTATGGACAAATCTGTGAAGTATCTCAGCAAATACCCATAGGCTCTGAAATCTCATGGAAGTATGTATTATTGTGAAAATTTTATATTTAAGAATTTCTGACATTAGCCTATTAGAATTTTACATAGATTTATGGTACAGCATTTCAATTCTTACAGGTTCCGTATAACATCCCTTTGATCTGGCTTCCAAGTGCTTTGAAAACATGTCGCACTGATAAATGGCAACACCTACCTCTGCATTTGCAGATAACACAACCGTGGCTGTTCTGCTGGAAGCCCATTGGGCAGATTTTACCACAAGGCATTTCCGGGCATTTCTTACATCGACAGATTTCACAGCCATGCTTGTTCTTCCTAGATTACCAAAATAATTTGTTAAAGGTCAGCAGGATACTTTAAATGTCTAAATGCCATGGTTGAAGCAAAAGCAACCTCTAAATTGACTGATCAAATAAAGAAAATTGTCTTTAACATTCAGTTATTTTCAGTATGCACATTGATGTTCTCCTCCCATGTGAATGGCAACAGGTATTTGGAAGTTTCAAGCCATAGCAGATAATACAGATCTAAATGCTTTTGACTCACAAATGTACTATATTACTAAAAGACTAAATAATTATAGTGCTGAAGTGAGATTTGCAATAAAATGATCTTAAAATTTTTCTTACTACAATTTTAACCCTTCATGCTACAAATTGTTTTATTTATGGTTATCATTAACATTATTCAATTCATTAACATCAGTGCCATTACTGATATTTTGTAGACAATGACAAGATTAGGGTGCTTATTTCCTTTTCTTAAAAAATAAAAAACATGTAACAACATCAAACATTTAAAAAAAAAAAAAAAACAACCAAACCTTTTATATAATTGAACTACACCCTTCATCTAAAGGTAGAATTTAAATAGATGATTTTCAAATTAGTTTTAGAATGTTTCAAATTCAGTTTATGTGTACAAAAATTCAACTGAAAGACCATTCCAAAGATAGGGCTCCTAACGTGGCTTCACATCAGTTTGCTTTTAAGGTACCTTTATCTTACTCCATGCTACCATACCATGCTTATTATTATTTGCTATAATTTCTAAAATCCCTTTGTTTGATAATTCACACAAATTTACTAATATAAATGTTTTATGCATACTTTAGTTAGAAAAAAGAGAAAAAGGTGTGCGTTTCAACTTACTGAAGTACAGAAAGAACACTGAAATTTTTAATTTTCTTCTGTAGGTCAATATTCTAAGTCAGTCAGGATAAAAATGACTACTTTTAACTACTAAAAAGTATAATTCTGTGAGAGATTTAATGTTATCACTTTATAAGACCTTCTATTTGAAGATGAACCAGGTAGTTTGGTGCCAGCCCACAGAGCAGTCCTGAAGGGCATAACGCTTGTTCATGATCTCAAATGAAGCCTGCAGTTGCAAACATCTTCTCACTAGGCAAATGATCACCTAATATCCATGGCAACTACACTAACATCAGTATCTGCCTCCTTTCAACATCTTCTTTTATTTATTGTATTTTTTTATGCTTTAGATTGTCAATGCTTGAACTTTTGAGTCACCCCACTAAAACACTGTTTTTCGATTTGAGCTTTTTTCTGGATTCATGCCAATGACCACTGCAGCTCACCAGATACAATATGTTCAGTCAAAGGAATTGAAGGAGTCAGTCATTATTAGCCCCATCACTCTTATGACCACTATTTCCTGTAATAAGGTTCTACAACTTACAAAGGGGTAAGCCTGATTCTGTATCTCAAATAACAAAGGATATATGGGTATACATATATCCATTTACACGAGTTCAGTGCTAACATCCAAATAGATCTGAAGAATACTTTCATCTTACATTAAGTAATGTCATTTCTTCTTTCTCATACTTTCCCCAATTTTCTCGAAGTGAACACGTGCATATATTTTCCCAGATTTTGCATATTTTCAATACATATGGGCATACCAAAGAAGCATAAACATATAAGTACAGAATAAGAATACTTACAAGTATCCAAAGGGACAGTACTTGTCACATACAACAGGTTTGCATTTCTTGGGCCGTGGACGGCACTGGCAGATCTCACAGTTATGAGCATCAGTCTGGAACCCAAAGGAACAGTCCAGGGAGCAGCCTGATATGAGGCCCATACACAGCTCTTCTCCTGTGAAGAACACACATAGATGATTGCAAAGCAAAAGTTTATACTACACAAATGGATCCAATGGGATGTCTTCAGTTCCAGTTAAGAATTTGAGAAGTAGATATAATACCCTGTACTAATTTGATTTTGTGAAGTTATGCACATCCAACCAACATCCATGATTGTCAGCCTTTAATAAAGCATTTAAAATAACTTAAAGTTGTGACACACCATGTTCATTTAATAGGTTTCTCTTCAATATAGAGTAACTTTTATTTCTAGCCTACATATTTCAAACAGAATTGAAAGGCTGAAATTTAAAAGCCTTTATTCCACACTTAGAGTGCTTGCTGTCACCTGTTTGCTGATTAGAACGTGCTTCTCAAAAATGTAACTGTAATACTGGAAGAGGTGATTAAAACTTTGAGATGTTAGACTAAAAGATCTTCCTTCTGAAGTCTGTTATTATGTTTTATTTTTGTGGCAAGGAAGGATGATGTTGGATTGTTGGTGTATAAAAGAAATTAATTAGAATTAAATTAATTAAAAGAAATTAGTGGCCTTATACAAGAAATTAAACTCTGTTTTGAGCTCTGATGTGGTATAAATTATGACATTTCCTGCTGATACTCTGAACTGACCCGAGAATAATCCTGGAAACACACATGGACTGATGAGTACCATTCATTTTCTGAAGTGTACTTTGTCACAGAGATGAAGTGTTTGGGTGGCTGTGCGTAATCAGCAGGCTCACAGAACATAGGTCAAGGAACAATAAGGTACAAATGCAAAAACAGGAAAAAAAAAAAACTAAAGGCATAGAAACAACAGGAATATTTTTTAGTTGGCATGTTTCTTTAAGTCATTTGTGTCCAGATTTGTGTTTAGGACAGCTTTCAAAGTGTGGCACCCTGATTTAAATATGAAGTAAAATATAGTGCAATAGTGACTTCTTCAGGATCTCATGGGCAGATAGGTTTTCGCTTTCAATCTTCTGTTCTGCTTTGATTGTTATGATTTGTTTAGTGACACTGAAGTGCAAAATACACTCTTATATGCAAAATTGATATACTTTATTTAAAGGGTCAAAGTGTCTAGGACAGTGGTATGCAAACAGGATGACAGTGTCTTATCCTAAGTAGTTCACGCCATGAAATTACTTAAAATTCAAACAGTCAGTTGGCATACTAACTAGACAGTCTAGTCTGAAGGCAATCTTCTCCTTGCTTATTCATTTATGTATTGAGTTATCCTCAAAAGAATTCTGAATTTTGACTTTTTGAAGTCAAGAATGGATGACTGACTGACAAACATTGCCTCTCAAGAACAGATGCTGAAGAGTATTCTCATTTTCATCATGCCATATGTAAAATATAATCAAAATTCTGTCTGTTTCAACACAGGTAAAGTTTGCTGAATTCAATAGAGACTACTGCTCACACCTGAACTTACTAATGTAATGTCTGTGCTAGACGAGGACATCAGAATACTCTGTATAGAACTCTACAGGCAATCCTTCTAATAACATGCTAAAAATGATGACTACTGAGAAGCTGGTTGTTACTAAAATTAATGTGCTCTCATATTTAAATTTCTCACATTACAATATTACAAGCTGTGGACTTAGATTCTCAATAGGTTTTGAGAAATATTCTCTATAAAGAAATTCAGTGTTGTGGAAATCGTTGATTCTGGCCTGCTTTCTAACTTCACAACTAGCTATGCACATTTCTTTTTACTGAAACATTTTAAAAGACATGGAAAATTACAGGCAGCCGCAAACTGAAGTACCATCTGGTACACATGCACAGGCCTCCTGAAAACCCTATTTTAAACAGGGCATTTTTTCAGAAAAGTGAGAGCGAACTTGCCAATTTTACAGGAACAGAGTTTAGCTCTATGAAAAAAAAAAAGGGAAAAAAAAAAAAGAGAAAAATTGCCAGGGCTAGAGATTCACATGAAAATAAAATTTAATGAATACAATTTTCACCCTGACACATAGCCATAACTATAACTTTAAATTCATTGTTAGTAAAATTATCACAAGTTCAATATGAAAGACAAGTAAAACCAGTTTTCCTCCTAAGGCTCTGCAATACGAGTAAAAAGTACTAAAGAGTAAAGACAACTGCGATCGACTTATGAAAGTCAGCTGCTATTATCTGAGATTTATATACTGAAAATATCAGGAGGTAATTTGTTTTGGGGGGCTTTATCCACTTTTGCATAAATAAACTTCACCTAGAACCTGAATCCCAAATCATGCAACATATTCACAGGGAAGAGATTCAGCCTTCAGTGAAGCTAAGAGCTTAAAGGGTGTATTCCAAAGAAGCACTCTGAGGATAGAAAACACTTTAAAAAGCTAACATTGAAGGAAAACTACCTTTCAGAAGTCTGGAAATCTGCATTATGTGCTTACATGTCACTGCAACTCTAACAGAATAGGCAAGCTTCATGATTACAGAATATTTGTTTTTTCCTTGACAATGTTATAACTAATCGTTCAGAACTCAATTAAAGATTCAACAGGGGGGTACAAAACTAAACAGAAATGATACAATGAGTAGGAAACCAATAAAAGAGAAGGCATCTTTCACTACGCTGCTTGAGAAATATGTGGTTGGAGAGCAGAGTTCTATGTGAGAAGTAGAAACACATTCGGTGATTTTTCTTATTAACTGTGAAATGCCAATGAAGTAATGTCAATACAGAAAACAATCCTTTTACATAAGGTAATAGGAGGGCTTAGGGTGATAAAGTAACGACACTAGAATGAAATGCAATACTGAAAATGTATAAAATGCATAAACTGAGTTCACACACATGAAATTAGTTGATTTCAGAAGGATAATAAAGTGATGTGACTTTAGAAAGAGACAGATATGCTCCTGAATGTCTCAGGCCAATATAACTGTTCTTTTAACACAAACATTTTAATGTGAACATAGGCTTTAGATGAAATATAAAACAAAATACGAAACTAAATTCTAGAAAAATTTCAATTGAATCAAACACAGAAAAAGCCAGCACAGTAATCAAAGAAAGACTGCCCTACACCAAAGACTTTCTCAAAATAGCTTCTTACAGGGAATAAATACTGCCTTGAGAACAAACATGCCCTGAATACTTATAGCAGTGAATCCACCCCACGGAACAAGACCACACTATTTTATTGTCTGTGTACAATGATTGTAAAGGTAGCAGCAAAGTCAGTTACCAACGATTCCATGCTTCTAGCCAGTCTTCACTAAGTCTCACTATATTGGCAAAAGCTATTGCTTAGAGACTTTTCTATTCTAAACACAGCATTTCTAACAACAACTGGTTTGTAGCTGCAATAATTCATCACATTATGTGCTGCCTTGCATATAGGAATTCTACATTACTAGATTCATTTGGATCAATTTAGTAAGATACCACTAGAAAAAAATAGGAAAGAATAGTTGAAGGTGAACCAGTCTTCCAAAAACATCGGTGAATTATTAAGATACAAATAGCAGGATCAGAATTTCTAAGTCTGGTCACTGTTGCCAAAAAACTCCTCTTAATAGAGCAGTTTCTTTCTCCCCACTTCCTTCCCCCACTCCCAAACACATGGGAGTTTTATACACATGGACTAATAAAATAAGTATTAGAGTTTCAGGAGGGTGTGATGCTGCTTAAGCAGAATCTGATTGCGATATGTGGGATGGGACATGACTGTCAGAAGAAGAAAATCTTGTCTTAAAGACAAGGGATTACTACTAAGATATGATGAGACTGCACAGTGCTCTGCATGCAAAAGATTTGGTCTCAGTAATTCTTTTCCTCTAAATACCTCATTCTCAGTACTAGAAGAAATTCATTTTAAAGGGTTGTCTAAGACCTAATCACTCGCTGCTGAAGGAAAGAAAAATATGCATAAAAATCAGAGTGTAAGAGAAGTTGATATGCTGATGTGACATACAGATACCACTCTGCAAACAAGATGACAACATCATAGCTCCAGAATATGTAATGTTATCAATGTTTGTAAGGGTTCACTCAAAACCCAGATATTTCAGATACAATGTAATCTCTCTTTCTCAGCTATGAGACCTTTGAGGCAGTATATCTTAAAATAAATCACAGGTCTTAGGCCTAAGTTCCAACCATCGGATGTACAATATATTCCTGATTTTGGAGTATTCACATCCCCAGTTTGCATGAGCAAGAGAAAATTTAGAATGTAGTGAAATACTTCTCAAAAATTAAACTGTGAAGTGGACAAACGTCAGTTCTGTAAATTGGGTCTAAAACTGTTCTCCCATTTGAAATTTAACAGCTTGACTGTAATTCTAGATAGCTCTTACACAAAAATTGACCTCCATTTTTTCCTTCTAACATATACATGACATATAAAAAAAGATCTAAGCTGTAAGATATGCTTTTCCCTGATTTATTATTTTATGTATGGACACTGGTAATTTTATTCTGAAGACTGAAAGCCTTTTTAGGCTAAAATTTTTGAAAAGGTATTCCAGAGATGCATAACCTGTTGAAATACTTTTAGTTTTTAATCCTGTAGTTTACAGTGAAAAAAAAAAAAAAAACCCAAAAACTTTTGGACAATATTAGTAGCTATTTGAGAAGAATTATGTCAGTATTTCAACTTTGCTTAAGCCAGTGTCCACTTGAAAAAAAATATAGATTTGTAGCATTGCTAGACAAAGCTAGCTACATACCTTCACCATCATTATTTTCTTGACGCTGAGGCTAGATCATACCAGGAGAACTGTTTCACAGTACCTTTATAATTAAGCACTCCTCAGCCGTCCTCTCGGTGTGGATTGCTACTGCTGGGTAATCTTCAGGGGTGGGGATCTGGGGAGGCAAATTTATGAAGGAGAAAACTAGGTTACTTATCAGTAACTGGAATTCTCTGAATATATTGCCTCCACAGATCCACACTAACCCTCCCTCCTTTCTTTAGAATTAAGTCATGATTTATAATAGCTTGATAAAAATGAAGGGACTGGGCACTGTGATGCTACAAAAAA